GCAAATAGGTGGGATAAACCAGGGAGGACCCTGGAACAGAGCCACCAACCTGATGCCCGAAACCGGAGGCAGGACCGGTTTGGGGGGGCGGGGTAGGGAACCTAGGGCCACCTACACACCCGCCGCCATAAGCCACACCTGGCTGACCTGACCAACTCCACCCAGACTGACCTACAGCAGGGCCAAAACCTGTAGGGCCAGTAAAACAAGCCCCACCAGGGGAGCAGCGTGCACCGGCAAAACCAAACGCAGCTGCGCTGGCACCTACCATAGGAAAACCTGGGGAGGAGGCACAAGGGATAGAGCTGGAAGCATAGGTTTTTACACCAGTGCTCACACCACCGTAAAATCCAGCCGAGGCTAGCGAGGCCGAAGCATCACTAACCACCGGACCGGGCAGCAAATGCTGCACAGTGGTGGACGGCGTGCTAGACGCCATCACCACGCCAGGGGCTACATCAGGGATGCAAGGAACCCCGGGAGCAGACAAAACTGCCGGGGGCCGGTCTCCGACAACACCAACACCCTCAGGAGTGGAGCGGACCGGCAGGAGGCCACCAACAGAAGCATCCGCTGACACAACATGGCTGGCCTGTTTAATATTCCCAAGGGAATGTTGGGCCACCTGCCCTCCCACCACAAATTGGGAGAGAAGGCCGCCCCCCTGTCCCCTAGTCACCGTGGTGACCGGGACAGAGCCCAAACCCTCACCCACGTCGACCGACAAAACGGAAGGCGGGGTGAGAGAAAGGTGCGGGTCCAAAGAAACAAATTGTTTCCCAGCGGCCCCGGTACGGGTCGAAACCGCCGACACGAACCCCAGGGAAGACTCGACAGAGGTCGGAATTCCGCTGGTGCTCTCCGAGGGCTTAGGCCTAGCTTTAGCCCTCGCCCCACCCCTACCGCCCCTCCTACCCGACTTACCTGCACGCCCTCGCGGGCGGGGAGAACCACCGGTAGGAGTCGGCTGCCAGGCACGGCAAATTTCACACGGCTGCTCCAGAGAGCAAGACCGACAGCCAGGACAGTAAGGGTGGGGGTCGGAAGCCTCAAAAAAATGACCCCCAGGACAGCGCCTTTGAGAAGGAGGAGTCTCCATCTCAACGTAAACAAACCGTCAAAAACGCGAACACGTGGCCGGAGCCTGGTCGCAAAACGGCGCAAAACAAAGCAAAAAGCTTAATTAAAACAAAATAAAGTTAACTAGTTATAAAGGATACGTAAATGTATGGGTACAAACAACGCCTGTTGTAGTTGGAACCCGTAGACACCAAAACACGTCCGTAAACACGGCCGGCTGAAGGAATTATGAAGTGGGAAGCATGGCTTCGTGTCTTAAATCACGTGCGTGAATACTGCCGTCTGATTGGTGGGTTTCCCAGGGGTTCCCCATGGGGGGAAAAATTCTTTATTTACGTATGTAAAGAGCCAAGTAAGGTTGGAATATGCATTATAATGACTGTGGTAACGTATTTTGAAATAGAAATATATTTTACTAAGCCACTGAGCTGTGGATATACGTTATTTTGCATTTATGTGTGCTTTTGTATATTGGGATTTTTCTTTCAGCAGTAGTATTGGTGACAGCTAGCTAGCGTAGATCCGGGTCATATTATATTCTAACGCTGGTAGTAACAGCTGAGGAAACCCCGAGGACCGAACGATCTGTTTGTTGTCTGTGTCATGGGAATTCGAGCACACGGGCATTATTATATGTGTTAGAATAAAGAATTCTTTGCCCTTGGTTTCAATAGAGAGAGGATGGCGCTGTGGTTTTAAGTGAAAGAAAGAGCTGTTTTCTAATATGTTACCTTAATTCTGATTGGTTCTCGTCAACTGTTACCACGGTTGCGGCATTATCTGTTTGTCAGAACTTGTGAGCTTTATGATAAGTCAGGTGTGAATTTACTGTCCGCTAGAGGTGAACAGATTTTTGGACAGATTTTCTATGGGAATAGGAGAATTTTATTTTCTGTTTGAATTTGAAAGTGTAAGCTACATCATTTTCTTTCACAGTTCTGACAGATAACGATTTTAAATAGTGCTAAATGGAGTTGTTAAGCCGACCAGACGTGCATGAATGGTTCCCCTTGTTTGGCAGTGACAATGGTTATGACACATTGAGTTTAGGGTGAGGTCGTGCTTGGCTGACTGCCTCGACTCCCGCATCTGTCCCCGTGTATTGTTCCCCTATTGTGTGTGTCCTTTGGGACCATTAATCGACTTCAGCCCCCAACACAGAACAACCATCTTCATCAACACAATGTGCTAATTCCATTTCTAGCGCTATAAATACTTGGGCCTCCCAAAGCAATTTAAAAACAAATTTCCTTGTAAATCTGTGGTAGACATGAGAATCTGTCGTTTTAGACATCTTGTCAAATTACAATACTCAGGAAGCATAATTGTATATCCTTCTGTGTGCAAATGACAAGGTTTTTTATCCAATATATATACAAATGTATATATGATTGTGAAAAGGTCACTGTGGATATCATGTGAAATTTCTGAAACATATCAGTGCTGAGATTAAAGGAAATCTTTAGGACATGTTTAGATTTAAATATTTTCTAGATCACATCAGAATATTCTCAAAGTAATGAGTATTTCATTTTTTCAACATTATTTCAAATCCTCATCATAGACAAAAATAAAATGTTGTTCATAATATTTCATAACCAGAACAAGAAATTAGGCTTGAGCACAAAATCCATGCTTGAGCATGAGAAGTCAGTTTCAGAAATACGGGCCCTGCAGGCCTTTTCCCCACAACCAAGAAATAGTTTCTAGGGAAAAGTGTCTTCTTTCATTTTTTTTTGAGATTTAAGGATTATCTGTGATAATGTGATAACAGTTGCTATAGGACTTAAGTACATTCTGCACCAAGAACACTGACCTCATCAAGTCAAATACTTTAGATAAAATTATGTAACAATAATCGTAGAATAACGGTTTATATCATTTAAATTTCCACTAATGTAGTTACAGATGGTCTTTAATGCAATTTTCTGGTCTAGACCGGAATATCGGAGAAAATTCTTGCCTGTAGACATCTCATTGGTAAATGTAATTATCCATAATTTCCGCCATTTTTATCAGAAAATATGGTCCCCCTAGGGCTATATGGCATTTGTTCTGTATTTTAAATCTTATAATGTAATTGTACTCTTACTTTAAATTATACCCTCGTAACAAGTAAGGAGAGGAACTTTCTGTATAAATATAACTGACGACGTAGAATTTACCATCCGTCTTTTCATTTGTTGTGTGTTCATCCTTCTGTCCATTCATTCACCATTGAAACTTTGTCTGGATTATATAATTTTTCTTATCGTCTCAATAAGTTGAATCGCTGCTCAAAAGACCATACCTAATTACACAATCTTACCTCTTAAGGGTCCCTGCTGTACCACTGCCAAAAACTCTAACTTAGTGTTGGAAAATGTTTTTTTCCGGCATAACTATACCTTTGATAATTTAATAAAAAAAAACAAAAAAACTTTGTGGGATTGAAATGAGAAATAATAAAGATGAATTAAAAAACCTATAATCAACAACAGCGCTCTGAGTGTAAAAAGTTCATCGGGACCACACCAAGGATCGAACCATGGACTTCATATTGTCATACCTGATCGCTCTAACCTAATGAACTACCAGGTCAACGGAAGTGTTTTTGCCTAAATGTGCTACAGTCATATCCCAACGGAAGTTAAGATGAGGTTGCTGTATGTATGAAACAGCACAGTGCAGTGGGACACAGAACTGTCACGATAGACTTTACCCACGATTCGATACGTACATATCTCGATATTTGTACCACGATGCAATTATTTCGATTCAATACACCATTTTTTTAAAATATAAACAAAATGAGATATATAAGCCGTCGATACACGGGAACCCGAAGCGTTTCCACACTTTTGATTTGAAGCTTGCCGGAGCATCACAAATTTTCATTTCCTTACCTCGGTCCGCCATTTTGTTATAAATATTTGGTGAAAATAGTATCCTCGCAGCTGATTGGCTGAGTGTTTAGAGATCAGCCAATGAAATTTAACGTCTCACAGACATTTCGGCTGAAACGACATTAACACTAATATTCAGATCGTGACGTATTGAAAATTCAGAAAAATATATCATGCATCGAATCAAACATAAATAATCGCGGTACAAGTGCATCGCAGTGAATCGTGATGCCTCTAGTGGGACAGGGATAGGGTTAGGAAGACTGCCATTTTCTCATTATCGTAGTTTACTACTGGCTTTTATCATTCAATAGGCCCAAGGAGGGGGGGGGGGGGGGGGGGGGGGGGGGGCATACATTTTGAATCAAAGTTAGAGATCAGGATGAACTTTAGTAACAGGACAACAAAAAAGCATTAGTTGGCATTTTTACTGAACTACAATATATTATTGTGGGTGGGCTTATTAACAGGCATGGGCTTATTGCTGGATAAATACGGTATATATCAGTAATACACTATTTAGATACCATCTCTGGTAAAGTTAGAGAGTATATGGACTTAAATACTTCATACTTGTTAGAAAATGTTTTATTTTCTGTCCTTTAATTAAACCTTGATTAAGTAGCCACCTGTCTGAAGCAGCCAACATCATCTCTTGTAGGTGACATCTTGACACAGGTTAACTTTATTTGCCTCAACCTCACCTACAATTTAACATGTTAGCATTTGAGGAGATGTTATTTTTTACTTAATGAAAATTCCACAGATATCTAATTTTAGCTATTTTCACATTTCTAAATTTACAGCAAAGAACTATTCTTTTATGAGTGTAGAAATGAGGTTATTTAACCCTTTTACCCTTGCATAAATTTAGTAGACCCTACCATTTATTTCTCGGGACCAGCTGTCATTTATGGTTTTCAGTGGTGAAACTTTTTAAGCCAGTTAAGAAATAGATCCAGCGAATCACGAAAAATTTGTAATACGTAAAAATCTGACACCTTGAAAACCCCCAACTATTTCTGTACTTGACAGGTTTCTGTATGTGGTTGATGGAGGTGATGAACCGCGCCTTCTCAGGACCAACCTCGATGGCTCTCAGCCCACGACCTTAATCGACGGCAAGGTGTTGACCAATCCACTGGCTGTGTCCATATTTGGTAACCTTGTTTACCTTGCTGATGGTACGGCAACCAAAGACAGCTCGGCTCTTATTTCGTACAACTCGGTCAATGGCAGTGTAACCACACTCATGAAGACGTCTTCGGTAAGTTTGCGTTACCTTGAATCAAAATATACAATAACTGTTCTCCATAGCGAAAAAAGATAAATGAAAAATATTGTCTTGCTGTATCAACTTTTGTAAAGCAAATTGGACATTACTTAGATTTAGCATTGACTATTGCCCTTGAAGAAGGCCATGCCACCTCACTATATAAAACATCAAGGATATTGTGAACTTAATATATAGGTTAACCTTAGTAAAGGTGAGAAATCATAATGCATTTATTATGCCTTCATATAAAGCATGTTTTTGTTAAGAAAACAAACATTAAAGATTATGAAAAGATTCTTGTTACACAACCAATAAGTGTTTATGTAAATTTCGATGACTTGCACAGTAATGTACTTTGTCACGTTCATCAGACAAATGACCGTATAAAGTGTATGCACACAAAGGTGTAAAATGTGAACAAGTTATCCACAATTCGATGTCGATTCGGCTTTGCTATGACCGTATGTACATCTAGTTGTTATGTATGAACTGAAATGACTCAATTCAGCTACACTTTGACAGAGTACATACAGTACTAGTCATCGAAACGTCGGATAGAAATACTTATTGGTTGTGTTACAAGAGTCTTTTCATAATCCATACTTACCAACCCGAAGAAAATGTTTAGAAAAAAACCCATGAAAGGCCCTGCAAAATTAGTAGTTGAATTTTATTTTCATAATAAATGTTGCTGAATCTTCTAATGAAAATCAGACCTTTGATTTCCTTGCCCTATTGTAAATATATTCTCACACAAGACATAGACGTCCGTTAATGTCACAATGTCTGTTTTTGCTTACATACAGAACATTTTGGATATCACTTCATCGTCGACGTCGGTGTACATTTCCACATATGATGAAGAACAAGATCAAGGTCACATATATGTCCTTGAACTTGAGACATTAAAGAAAAGTGAACTCAACTTCCAAGGACACATTGCTACCGGATTGTCCTATTCCAGGAGGGTAGAAGTCATTGGTAGGTTGTTAAATATAGGATTTAGTTATATGTCGGCTGTTAGATATACTAGGACTCAAGTCATTGGTAGGCTGTTTGATATAGGACTCAAGTCATTGGTAGGCTGTTAGATATGGGACTTAAGTCATTGGTAGGCTGTTAGATATGGGACTCAATTAAGGCATTGTTAGGCTGTTAGATACAGGACTCAAGTCATTGGTAAGCTGTTAGATATGGGACTTAACTCATTGGTAGGCTGTTAGATATGGGACTCAATTAAGGCATTGTTAGGCTGTTAGATATGGGACTTAATTATAAGTCATTGGTAGGCTGTTTGATATATGACTCAAGTCATTGGTAGGCTGTTAGATATGGGATTCAAGTCATTGTTAGGCTGTTAGATACAGGACTCAAGTCATTGGTAGGCTGTTAGATATGGGACTCAAGTCTTTGGTAGGTTAATGTACTAATTCATAGGACTCAAGTCATTGGTAGGCTGTACATCATAGGACCCAAGTCATTGCTACTTCATTGGACTCAGTCATTGGTAGGCTGTACTCCATAGGAATCATGTCATTGATAGGTTCTACTAATTCATAGGACTCAAGTCATTGGTAGGCCGGACTTAATTGGACTCAAGTCATTGGGAGGCTGTACTTCATAGGATCAAAGTCATTGGTAGGCTGTACTCCATAGGAATCATGTCATTGATAGGTTGTACTAATTCATAGGACTCAAGCCATTGGTAGGCTGTACTACTTAGGGATCTAAGTCATGGTAGGTTTTACTACATAGGAATCAAGTCAGTGGTAGGCTGTACTTCATAGGTCCCAAGTCTTTGCTCCTTCATGGGACTCAGTCATTGGTAGGATGTACTTCATAGGACCCAAGGCATTGGTAGACCGTACTTCATTGGACTCAGTCATTGGTAGGATGTACTTCATAGGACCCAAGTCATAGGTAGGCTGTACTTCATAGGTCCCAAGTCATTGCTACTTCGTAGGACTCAGTCATTGGTAGGATGTACTTCATAGGACCCAAGTCATAGGTAGGCTGTACTTCATAGAACCCAAGTCATTGGTAGACAGTTCTTATTGGACTCAAGTCATTGGTAGGATGTACTTCATAGGACCCAAGTCATAGGTAGGCTGTACTTCATAGGACTCAAGTCATCGGTAGGCTGTACTACATAGGAATCAAGTCTTTGTTACGTTAATGTACTAATTCATAGGACTCAAGTCATTGGTAAGCTGTTAGAGATGGGAGTCAAGTCTTTGGTAGGTTAATGTACTAATTCATAGGACTCAAGTCATTGGTAGGCTGTACTTCATAGGACCCAAGTCATTGCTACTTCATGGGACTCAGTCATTGGTAGGCTGTACTTCATAGGACCCAAGTCATTGGTAGACCGTACTTCATTGGACTCAAGTCATTGGTAGGCCGTACTTAATTGGACTCAAGTCAATGGTAGGCTGTACTTCATAGGACCCAAGTCATTGGTAGGCCGTACTTCATTGGACTCAGTCATTGGTAGGCTGTACTTCATTGGACCCAAGTCATTGATAGACCGTACTTCATTGGACTCAAGTCATTGGTAGGCTGTACTTCATAGGACTCAAGTCATTGGTAGGCTGTACTTTATTGGACTCAAGCCATTGGTAGGCTGTACTTCATAGGACCCAAGTCATTGGTAGGCCGTACTTCATTGGACTCAGTCATTGGTAGGCTGAACTTCATAGGACTCAAGTCATTGGTAGGCTGTACTTCATTGGACTCAAGTCATTGGTAGGCTGTACTTCATAGGACCCAAGTCATTGGTAGACTGTACTTCATAGGACCCAAGTCATTGTTAGGCCCTACTTCATTGGACTCAAGTCATTGGTAGGCTGTACTTCATAGGACCCAAGTCATTGTTAGGCCGTACTTCATAGGACCCAAGTCATTGGTAGGCTGTACTTCATAGGACACAAATCATAAGTAGACTGTTCTTGATTGGGCTTAAGTTATGGTGAAAAATATAGGACTTCATCATCAATATGCAATGTAGTATAGGTTTTTATCATTGGTAGGATGTACTTGATAAGACTTAAGTCTATAATAGCACTCCAGTCAATGGCTACAAAGCTGTCAACTGGGAGTCCAATTGGTTCCAGGCTGTACTTTATAGGGCATCAGTAGGTTGTACAAACAGTATAACTCAGGTCATTGTTAGGTTGTACATTTTATTGTTACTCGCGCTGGCATAGGAGTGTCTATATATATATATATACTTCTTTTAAAGTGATGCATATAGATTTCAATGAAACTTTTACCTAATGCTTATTTAGTAAAAATGATAGTTGTTGAAAGGATGTATTCAGATTTCATATCAAACTTTATAAAACAAAAATAATTAGGTGTTTAATCTGCAGCTTACAGTTTTAGATTCTTTTAACTTTCTGTTATTTTGATGTTGACCTTGACTTTAACCTTGACCTTGTAGCACCACATGAAGACCCATGTGAGGATGCTCCATGTAGCCACAAATGTATCCGTGTGACCATCCAGTCTCCCCCCTACAACTGTATCTGTCCTGATGGTACCGCCATGATGATGACCAATGATGGATCGACTTGTCTTCGTAAGTTACACGTTCCTTCAGATTTTTAAACTGTCTTTCTTGCCAAAATGTTTAAATTAAATTAAAATGTAAAAAAAAAATTTTTTTTTTTTCATGCTTAATTTTTTTGACTATACATTTGTATCATATTATTGTCTTAAATGGGAATATTTTGCCGCAGTTAAATTTTTACCTTTTTCTTCCATCCGGAAGGTCAGGGAGAATTTAAAGCGACAGCGAATATTAGTATATACATATATACAACATATATACCCTATATAGTAATTATATATGTGATGAGCAAAATTATAACACAGGGCGAATATGGATTTACTTTGAAGGCCAAGTATTTGAATGGGCTATAAAGTTTCCCAGTATACTGAATATGAATGTTCAGTCCGTCGATCAGCTCTTGCAACTCTTGTACATTTATGTAGTAATATTTATGCTTTAATTTAGTTGTGTTTCTTTTTCTATGGTGCTGCCTTAAATACAGATAATGAATAGAAACAGAATATTTAATGTAATCAAAAATAATAATACGCCAGCAAAAAGTATTAAAAGTCATTTTACATGAAATCAAGAATACATCTTATTTGATGTTCATTTGCTTTAACTCTGAAACATCACCTCATTAACATTGGTTTGTACCGCCTTGTGTATCTGCCAGGCCCTGAGAACTTCATGCTGGTGGCTGATTTGAACCTGATACAGATGCTGAGCCTGGACCCAGACTCGGAGCCCCACCCCCACGTCCTCCATTATGGACACTCCCAGAGTGACATCCTGTCCGTGGTGTTTGATTCCAGCACCGACACAGTTTTCTGGATTGACAGTGCAAAGTATATATAACTAACTTAAATCCTAGATTCTTGTCTTCCTGCATACTGTTTAAATTTCTTTCTGTTAATGTAACACTGGGCAAACATGATAAGCCATATTGTGGAGTAGTTTAGATGGGGTAAGGGAGATAACTCTTAATATAAACAATCTTCGTTTAACCTTTTCACCACTGTAGACCATGATGGACTCATCCAGATCAATGCATGGTAGAGTCTACGAAAGTTACATAGTGGTGAAAGGGTTTTGTCATAAGGATCATAATTATGGCTTTGTTTAATTTGCAAATTTATGATATTTTCTGTTAAAACAAATTCCATGAAAAATCACACTATCAAAGGAAAACAAGAAGAAAAGCACTCCCAAAATGACCATTTATACACTTATTACATTTTACATTTTGTGAGAATCTTGGTTTTGCTGTTTTCACAATCTAGAGCATAATTTGCAAATTGTCAATGTCGCCAACATTTTTCTAATAAGAAATCACTGTTGATTAAAATTGATCAGGCAAGAACACAGTTAAAAAATTTTACCACAAAGAATTTAACAGCTATAAAATACAGAGAGTTGTTGTCTCTCTGGGACATCTCATTGTCGTTCTGACGAAACCTGTCTATTCTGACACTCTGTTGGAAACAACATATAGTTGGTCATATCCAACAAAAGGTCAGAATACACAGGTAAAATGGTAGATTATGACAAATGGGTTTACAGCATAATATTGTATTAGACATGCGTCCTGATTACTCAGGGGTCTGACTAGATAGGAGGCCTAATTAATTAGGGGTCTGATTAGACAGGATAACAGAAGTTTACTTAGATTATAAAGGTTTCACCGTATGATTACTCAGTGCCTATGATATATCTTGTGATGTACGTTCTAACATATCTCTGTTTAAATTGTAGGATTTTCTCCATGACACTTGGTAATGCCAATGGTCCCACCCTTCTTCTGGACAGTGGTCACTTTTCTCTCGGGGGTCTGGCTGTGGATGAAGAAAAGCAGCGGCTGTACTGGTCATCCTATGACCAATCTCTCCACGGCCGTATCATGCGCATGAAGTTGAAGCATGGGCCTAAGTCTACGAAACCCATTGTGACGGTCAACAGGGCTGTTCCCAGGACAGTTTTACTGTACCCCAAGCGTAGGTGGGTGTGACAGTCAATGTGACTTTTAAGCCTCATTAAAACAAAAACATTAAGATTCATTTAAAAAAATTTGATATAAAATTATTTTTTATGAATATGGAAAATAATTAAGATACATGAATCCCATGTGAGTGGAGATTTGGAATCTGTGCAAGGGAAACAACTTGAGTGTTAAAACCTGGTGCAGGGTTTAATTGAATATATGATCATGGTCGCCATCTTTATTCCCTCTAAAGTGCAATGGTGTGCAGGGGAACTTGGGTTGCTATTTTATTCCTTGGCGGATGCACACTTTTGTCTATCCTGTTACAAATAGTGTACCTATATTTGTTGCTCTCCCTGTGGTGACCGGTGTTAGAACCTGGGTTGTTGTGGTGTCCCGAGGGTGAACACATTTAAATGGGGGAAAGCAAATGGCTCTCCTCCTGTTACAATGCCGAAGAATCTTATACTTTATAAAAAAAAATGTCAAAAGTATTAAAAATGAAAATTGTCTGTTTCTAAGGTGGATATTCTGGACTGAGTACCCAGAGCGACACATGTCTGGAGACGAGGACTCCCACGAGGGATCAATCCACCGGGCCCATACGAGTGGTACTCACCACCAAATCCTGATCAAACAGGGCCTCATGTGGCCCAGCTCCCTTGCCATTTACGACAACAGGTTGTACGCCGCAGCCATGGGGGGCCGAGTCCTCAGCATGGACCTTGATGGTGAGTACTGTATTATAGTATTATTGTTCGAGGGCGAACACATTTAAAAAGCGGGGAGTAGTGTGGCAGATTTATGCTGTACATAGGATTATCGTCACTTTCTAGCTTTGTGCTAGCCAGAATTTCCCTTTAGCTCAATGCATGGTAGAGCATCAGACTTGGAAGTTTGGGATCGCGGGTTTGATCCCCAGTGAAAGCACAATACCTTCCTTAATTTTCTGTTAAAATATATTGTCCAGTCAAACCTACTCATGTGACCACCTCTATATAGAGACCACCTGTGTTAAGAGACCACTTATGTTTCCCATTGTAGTGATTTATTTGTGAATGAACCTGTCTTAAGAGACCACCCATTATAAGAGATAACTTTTGATGTTTCCTGTTGTAGTGAAATATTTGTGAATGAACTGGTCTTATAAGCACCCACCCATTATAAAAGTGTTTCCTGTTGTAGTGAAATATTTGCGAATGAACCTGTCTAAAGAGACCACCCATTATAAGAGAAAACTTTTGATGTTTCCTGTAATGGTGATTTATTTGTGAATGAACCTGTCTTAAGAGACCATCCATTATGAGAGATCACTTTTGATGTTTCCTGTTGTGGTGAAATATTTGTGAATGAACCTGTATTAAGAGACCATCTGTGTTAAGTGACCACTTTGACATTACATGGGTGGTCTCTCTACACAGGTTTGACTGTATCGTCTGATATCTTTATTAAGATATATCTGGCTAGATGCAATACTCAAGCATGATTGACTGTGCTACAGACTTCGTAATTATTTTTTTTTGTCATTAATGCTCAAATAAAGTTTGCGATATGTTTACAAAACCTTATCAACGTGATCAGTGGAAAAAATGAATTTAATTCTGGTTCTCTATGAAATGCTATTTTGATATTGTAAGACATTCACCATCTATAAATGTAACTTGGAGCTAGGTCATTTTTAGCAATTTTTAGCCATTGAACGGAGACTATAATATATGTAGAGCTAATATCAACAACGAGATCAGTAGAAAACTGTATCTCATTGTGGTCATATTTTGCATGGTAATTAAAACTCTATACTGTAAAACGTTTGTCATCTATAAACTTAACTTGGAGTTAATGAACTCATTCACCCCTGAAGTTTCATATAATGTACTATTCCAACCTTTGAATTGGAAGGGTTCAAATGTGTTTTCAGGGGTGAATGAGTTAAAAGATTCTTACAAACTAAGAATGTACCATGACAAAATTAGTGAAATTGTTTCGATATGTTTATGACTGTTTGATGTTGTATAATTCATGTATATAAAAAGGCAATAAATGCTTTCTACTACAACTCTGATTATTTACTTTTCAGGTTCCAACATTGAAGAACTGTACGTGTTTGAACCATTCACAGTGGGCATGTACGAAATGTCTTTCTTGTCCAACTACCTCTTCATGACCAATCTAAAGCGTCGGTCAGTTGATCTGCTGGACATCGAGACTGGCTGGAATGTAACGCTCTCCTCTCAGTTCAGTCGTCCAACTTCTCTTTCCTACTACCACCCTACAGATCTCACAGGTATAGCGTCTCTGTACAGTATTTGTTGTCATAAATAGTTGTTTCATGGTTATTAATCTTGTTGTAGTTTATCAATTTACTATGGCCCTTTCCTGAGACCTGTTCCCAAAGAGAAAGGCCAAAATAGATTTAGTACATTATATTACATGACGATAGATCTTGCAAATCTAATGTCAATAAAACTCTTGGAATACATATCTCTGTCTTTATTTCCAACATTGGCATGGCCGATAAAATGATCAATTTAGTAATGTATGGTTGTATACAGTTGTTATAAGTTATAACTGTTGTTATAGTTACATACTGATCATATAGTTATATAATTGTTGTTATTGTTATATATTTTTGATATAGTTATATTATGTTGTTAGAGAAATATACTGATGTTATCGTTACCTACTGTTGGTATGACTATATAATGTTGTTGTGTTATTACACTTGTTATGGTTATATACTGTTATGTTATACACTGTTATGTTATGTATTGTTATCATTAAACACTGTTATGGTTAAATACTGTTATGGTTTTATGTTGTTATCATTATACACTGTTATGTTATGTATCGTTATGGTTATATACTGTTATGGTTTTATGTTGTTATAATTATACACTGTTATGTTATGTATTGTCATCATTATACACTGTTATGTTATGTATAGTTATCATTACATACTGTTATGTTATTCACTGTTATGTTATGTATTGTTATCATTACACACTGCTGTTATGGTTATACACTGTTATCATTATACACTGTTATGTTATACACTTTTATGTTATGTATTGTTATCATTATACACTGTTATGTTATACACTGTTATGTTATGTATTGTTATGGTTATATACTGTTATGGTTATATACTGTTATGGTTTTATGTTGTTATCATTATACACTGTTATGTTATGTATTGTTATCATTATACACTGCTGTTATGGTTATACACTGTTATGGTTATATACTGTTATGGTTATACACTGTTATCATTATACACTGTTATGTTATACACTGTTATGTTATGTATTGTTATCATTATATACTGTTATGTTATACACTGTTATAGTATGCATTGTTATCATTATAAAATGTTATGTTATACCCTGTTATGTTATATAGTGGTATGGTTATATACTGCTATGTTATACACTGTTATAGTATGCATTGTTATCATTATACATACTATAACAGTGTATTGTTATCATTACATACTGTTATGTTATGTATTGTTATCATAACATAACAGTGCAGAACATAACAGTATATAACATAACAGGGTATAACATAACATTTTATAATGATAACAATACATTACATAACAGTGTATACTGTTATGGTTATACACTGTTATGGTTATATACTGTTATGGTTATATACTGTTATGGTTATACACTGTTGTTATGGTTACAGAGAATGGAGAATGCCGGACAGACAAGAACCATTGTAGTAACAATTGTGTGTCCATCCCGCGGTCACTTTACTGTACCTGTCCAGATCGCCACACCCTCGCTCCTGACGCCCAAACATGTGTGGAAGGTAAAATAATAATTGTTAAAACCAGTGATTGTTTGATTAGAAGGTGAGATTTATAGAAATTGTTTCAATGTACCCATGAAAAATAATGAACAATTCAGGTTTTCAAATATTCTAATGGATTGTTTGGGATAAATTGATGAAAATTTAGAAAACTCATAAGTTGTTGCTGTGTAAGGATGAAAATATTTGATGTGAACCGTTGCAGTGGCTGAACCATGGGAGGCTGTGGAAGAGGTGAATTGTCGCGGACGATGTGGGGAGAATGCTCAGTGTGCCCGCCTCATCCCAACCATCACCTTCCACTGTCTGTGTAGTCCAGGACACCAACCAAACTTCAAGGAGTGTCGAGGTACAGAGGGCAATACCTCATTACCTCCCCTACATCTTTGCATTTCTACATCTGATCCTTTATCTCATCATCATCTCTCATCTGATTTTCTCCCCTCCAAGCCTGCTTACACCTTCTTCCTATGTCCACTTCCTTCCTATGTAGGCACCTCCTCCCATCCCCTTTATTGCATCATAATTCTATACTTTATTCCTCTTTCCAAAAGTATCTCATGTTTTCATGAGTATCATACCTGATAAAGCAATACCTCCGCACCTCATCTCCAGCAATACCTTCATTCCTCATCTTCAGCAATACCCTCACACCTCATCTTAGCAATAACCTCACAACTCATTATCAGCAATACCCTCACACCTCATCTTCATCAATAACCTCACAACTCATCATCAGCAATACCATCACACCTCATCTTCATCAATAACCTCACAACTCATCATCAGCAATACCCTCACACCTCATCTTCATCAATACCCTCACAACTCATCATCAGCAATACCCTCACACCTCATCTTCAGCAATACCCTCACAACTCATCGCAGCAATACCCTCACAACTCTACTTCATCAATTCCCTCATACCGCATCTTCAGCAATACTCTCATTCCTCATCTTCAGCAATACCCTCTCTCCCCATCTGCAGCAATACCCTCACTCTTTATCTTCAGCAATACTCTCACAACTCATCTTCAGCAATAACCTCACACCTCATCTTCAGCAATACCATCACACGTCATCTTCAGCAATACTATTCCTCACACCTCATCTTCAGCAATAACCTCACACCTCATCTTCAGCAATACCATCACACCTCATCTTCAGCAATACCCTCACACCTCATCTTCAGCAATAACCTCACACCTCATACCTCATCTTCAGCAATAACCTCACACCTAATACCTCATCTTCAGCAATACCCTCACACCTCATCTTCAGCAATATCCTCACACCTCATCTTCAGCAATACCCTCACACATAATCTTCAGCAATACCCTCACATCTCATCTTCAGCAATACCCGTACACATAATCTTCAGCAATACCCTCACACCTCATCTTCAGCAATACCCTCACACTTTATCTTCAGCAATATCCTCACACCTCATCTTTAGCAATATCCTCACACATAATCTTTAGCAATACCCTCACACCTCATCTTCAGCAATACCCGTACACATAATCTTCAGCAATACCCTCACACCTCATCTTCAGCAATACCCTCACACTTTATCTTCAGCAATATCCTCACACCTCATCTTTAGCAATATCCTCACACATAATCTTCAGCAATACCCTCACACCTCATCTTTAGCAATACTCTCACACCTCATCTTCAGCAATACCCTCACACTTCATCTTCAGCAATACCCTCACACCTCATCTTCAATGTTGCCCTCACTCAGTCCTTATTTTTAGTGATGCCCTGTGACACTCCTCATCTTCAACGATGCCCACTTTTTTTCCTTATGCTCACCATCCAAATCATGTCCTTTCTCTGACAAATCATTATGTATATGAATTTTAATGCAAACATTAACTATAGCGAGAACAATGTTCCATTTAAAAGATGTGATCATACAGGTGTGACGGTTAGGTACGATATTGACGTATCGTGCACATGAACCATGCCTCCTATGCATTTATATTGAAATTCAGTTGCCCACGCTTCAAATTTGGGTATATAAGTCTGGTGTTTAAAACCAAAGAAACCATTACATATCAGAGGTACAATTATGGCAAATAATTGGCATGCATTCAACAGGAATGTCCTTCAAAGCTATTGGACAACGATTGGCTATCACTATACAGTAAATCAGCTGTCACTTTCATTGTGTTTATGTTTTAGCTTGTCCCGTGAACTTTTACAAGTCTTGGATGGCAAACACTACATGTAGTACCTGTGAGCTACGTGCCACCACACACGGACAGACTGGATCCACTTCCTGTTCCTGTAGGAACCGCCAGCCACCACCGCAGAATGAGCCGTGTGACGGTGAGATGAGATATCTTCATTATACTTTGTCACCTTTTTAAACTCTCTTTAGAGACCATCCTAAGCCTGCTGGTGATACATCATTCTTCCAACTTTGACCCAGTGTGATGAATTCCCCTTGTGACCTATTGATTTATCCTTGACCCTTTGACCTTGTGATCTATTTATACAATTATTCGATGGGGAATTTGGGGAACAGTAAATAGTTTTGTCCTGCGGAAGTCCTTTGGAACTGTAAGACAAAGAAAACAGCTCCCCAGGATTTCCTCGAGACAAAGAATGGCCATGAGGTTGACTGTTTCCCAAACACCCATGAAATAAATGTTACCTACATTGTATTACCTAATACACTTGTTATGAGATTTTATAAATGAGATAGGGTTTTTGTTTTTAACATTATCAAAAACATTGTGTGAAGAAACAAATTCAGATTTGTTCCCTGTAACCATTAATTGAAGCATCTTCATTCCTAAGTCTTATTGTTGTCAAATGTTCATACCATGCAGCACTTAGTTATTCAAAATGTTCATAGCCCTAAATATATGAACAACATTCTTTGTATTCAACACAGCAATCTTCTCTGACATATCAATCAATTAGATACTCTTCAGTTTCCTCTGGCAAGTCAGATTCTGATTTCAGAAGTCATTCACCCTTTAAGACACATTTGAACTCTTCCAATTCAAAGGTTGGAACAGTTCATTAAGAAATTTTAGGGGTGAATGAGTTAAGTTATTTAGTATATTAGGTAATAACCTGTGATGTTTGTTCTCCCTCATGTAACTGTGATCTATGTGGTGAGTTACTCATCTCCAACCCTGCAATTTTGTGATGACCATTTCGGCCCTATCACCTTGTGTTGTTGCAAAAATATTGTCCCATGCTGTTGTTGCAGTACTGTAAACCGAGAACTTTTCGTCCAGTCAAATTTTGTCCCTTCGACGGAAAAATCTTTTCCCAAAAATATTGAATTTGCCCTTCACATTTAAGGCCAAAAAAAATGAATTACTTGGTTCTCAGGCCAATTTTTTTCAAAAGAGATGAGGCAGGGAGGTGGGTTTTTTTGCATTTTACATGGCAAAAATGAGACGAGGGCAAGTTTTTTGTTTGTGTAATTTGTAAAACTTTAATTGTGGGCATTACCTTGTCAAATGTGTCCGTTTTTTTGTCGCCAAACACACACATACTTTAGCAGAATGGAGTTTATCTGGGAAGGATGACTTTCCCAGATGGATGTTACCATTTTTTATAGTTGTGTAGAGATCCGTCATGGAGCAAGCCTCCGAAAATCCCCCCACGATGTTCCAGGGAAGAATCATGGACCGGGATCCCATTCCTTATTTGTACCGAAATGAGCGCCATTTGTATACGAAGTTAATAAGTCATAATCGTTTCAACACTTGCCTGTATATCAATTTTCTTTATTAATAATCCTTTTTTATAAACGTTTTTGGGACTTGGGTGACTAACGAATAATAACGACATGCGGACCAATTTTCCGGATTTTTTTAAGACGGCGGCTGGCGCATTCACATTTTTTTTTTATTATTACTTTCACGATAAAATGACAATGCGGTGCCCTAAAATGAAATGCACGCGGGCCCGAGAACCAAGTAATTTTTTTGTTTGGCCTTAACTACTATGTATATTATGTTGTTTATGAATGTTCAAAGTAATGAGAAGTCGTCCTCATTATGGTGGGCGAATATTAAACTGCAGCCAAAATTTCCCGATATACAGTATTTAGGAATATTGTTCAACTGTAATAAACATGTAAATTTTGTATGTGATGTAATGACTGGTCGAGGCAGACAATCAATCTGACGTCTGCTCATGTTTACAGACAGTATGGAAGCAGTGGTCACTGTGAAGGTGCCACCCCCGCCTCCCGTAACTTCCCAACCTAAACCAACATACAAGGTGTGGCCTAAAGGTAATTTAGGCAAGGCTGACTCCGGCGAGGAACAGATGCTAGGTGACCCACGCTTTACAAATGGACAATGGACGGACTTCAACAAGAACGGAGCTCTCAACAGAGGTAAGAATTTTTGCCTGCTAGCTGTGTTTATAGCTTTTACACCAAGTATTTGTACAACCTGCCTCAACCTCAGACTCCTCTTTGTCTTTTTTTGTTTTTGTTATTTCGAAGTGATTGAAACAAATTTTTATTGTCAATTTGTGTGAGAAGCTCAAGCAGTCAATTTTTTTCATTGTTGAGATTATATATTTATAAAATATTGAATGGGATTTTATTTTGAAATAAACTCAAAACAGAGATTTCTATTTCATTTCATAAAATGATAAGAGTTTGATTATCAAAAGACAAAATTTCCTGTAGTTTTCGAAAAGGGAAATAATGTATTTGAAATAATCTGTGTTCAGGTAAAATGTTCGTAAATTTAACTTGGAGCTTGCAGACTTGATAAGGAGGCACGGTAGTCTAGTGGTAGGACAGGTTCGAGTCACGGCACGGCACTGTGTTGTATCTTTGAGCAAGATTCGTTACTCTGCTTGTTCCAGTCTACTCAGCTGTGAATGAGTACATGGTTGGGCAGTGCTAGATTTGTAGAATGCTAGCTGTGAGCGCCAAAATGGCAGCATCGGCTGTATATGCTCCCCAGGGAGCTGAGAAAGATATTGGCTGGTTGCAAAGGCCCTATAACCTAGGATGATAATTTTGAGTTGACCTACGAACTAAGTTGTGATAAAGTGGTATATAAGAACCTCAAATTATTGTTATTATTATTTATATATTCGTCTTTGTTGACAGGATCCCCATACTTTGAGAACTGCCCGTCCAGAGAAACGCTGACCGTCCAGGTACCAGCCTCCAAAAGCAAGGCATATATACCTGTTACATGGTCGGCCCACGACTCGCGTGGAAACCAAATCCCTTACCTCACAAATTACCCAGAGGTTGATGGGAAGTTGGTCCTCGAGTGGATGGCCAATGGCGAGGATGGCAAGCATACAGTGTTGATGGATGCTAATGATATTACGGGTCAGATCACTGTCTGCAAGTTCTACGTCCTGGTACAAGGTAAGGGTTACGCTAAAGTTATACAATGGAATCTGTCACAACTGGATAGGAATTCGACCAAAATTTTGAGCTAGTTTCAGTTAACCTTTGATATAGTAACTGCAAATTCACTTAGGATAGCACACTTTTAAATTTTAGCCTTATTTTCAAATTTTAACAGCGCATATTTGGCCATTGGGAAAATTTCATAAAATCAAGACTTGCAGAATTATGGTTTAATATATTGTATTATCAGAGATGTATAATTAGGAGTCAATTTGAGGCCTTATAAAGGCCCCTTTCCCTGGAAAATTTCTGCTGTATTTTTCCAAAATCAATGCAAAAAATTACTTCATTTTCCAAAAATCAAGCTTTTTGTACATGCAATATTTTTCCGCAAATAACAAGGCACTGGCCCCTGTGGGAAGTAAGTAGAACAATCACGGATCATATTTTTATACCTATGTGTCAGATGGTGGAATTTTTATTTATACTTATTTATGAGACTGAAATATTTATACTGATCTGTCAGAGGGTGGAATTTTTATTTATACTTATTTGTGAGACTGTGGAATATTTATACCGATCTGTGAGATGGTGGAATATTTATACCGATCTGTCAGATGGTGGAATATTTATTCATACTTATTTGTGAGACTGTGGAATATTTATACTGCTCTGTCAGATGGTGGAATTTTTATTTATACTTATTTGGGAGACTGTGGAATATTTATACCGATCTGTGAGATGGTGGAATATTTATACCGATCTGTCAGATGGTGGAATATTTATTCATACTGTCAGATGGTAATTTATACTTATTATACCGATCTGTCAGATGATGGAATATTTATTTATACTTATTTGTGAGACTGTGCAATATTTATACTGATCTGTCAGATGGTGGAATATTTATTTATACCTATTTGCGAGACTGTGGAATATTTATACTGCTCTGTCAGATGGTGGAATTTTTATTTATACTTATTTGTGAGACTGTGGAATATTTATACTGATCTGTCAGATGGTGGAATATTTATTCATACTTATTTGCGAGACTGTGGAATATTTATACTGCTCTGTCAGGTGATGGAATATTATTTATACTTATTTGTGAGACTGTGGAATATTTATACTGCTCTGTCAGGTGATGAAATATTTATTTATACTTATTTGTGAGACTGTGGAATATTTATACTGCTCTGTTATGTGATGGAATATTTATTTATACTTATTTGTGAGACTGGAATATTTATACTGCTATGTCAGATGGTGGAATTTTTATTTATACTTATTTGTGAGACTGTGGAATTTTTATACTGATCTGTCAGATGGTGGAATATTTATTTATACTTATTTGTGAGACTGTGGAATATTTATACTGATCTGTTATGTGATGGAATATTTATTTATACTTATTTGTGAGACTGTGGAATATTTATACTGATCTGTCAGGTGATGGAATATTTATTTATACTTATTTGTGAGACTGGAATATTTATACTGCTCTGTCAGATGGTGGAATATTTATTTATACTTATTTGCGAGACTGTGGAATATTTATACTGCTCTGTCAGGTGATGGAATATTTATTTATACTTATTTGCGAGACTGTTGAATATTTATACTGATCTGTCAGATGGTGGAATATTTATTCATACTTATTTGTGAGACTGTGGAATATTTATACTGCTCTGTCAGATGGTGGAATATTTATTCATACTTATTTGTGAGACTGTGGAAAATTTATACCGATCTGTCAGATGGAGGAATATTTATTCATACTTATTTGTGAGACTGTGGAATATTTATACTGATCTGTCAGGTGATGGAATATTTATTCATACTTATTTGCAAGACTGTGGAATATTTATACTGATCTGTCAGATGGTGGAATATTTATTTATACTTATTTGTGAGACTGTGGAATATTTATACCGATCTGTGAGATGGTGGAATATTTATTTATACTTATTTGTGAGACTGGAATATTTATACCGATCTGTCAGATGGTGGAATATTTATTTATACTTATTTGTGAGACTGTGGAATATTTATACCGATCTGTCAGATGGTGGAATATTTATACTGTACTTGTGTGTCAGATGAAGTTCTACCGTCGTTCACCTACTGCCCTCGAGACCTGTCCATTAAGTCCACCAAACAGCAGGAGAGAGTGTTATGGAAGAAACCTGCTGCTGAAGACAATATAGGGGTGGGATCATTGACGGGAACCCATCAATCTGGAGAAGAGTTCCTACAGGGACTTACTATCGTCAACTTTACTGCTACCGACCAGGCTGGCAACAGGGCCTACTGCAACTTTTCAGTACATGTTTACGAAGGTGAGTCAAATTTACATTGATACACTTTCCAGATCATTGTTTAAAATATTCATTTAAGAGGATCTCTGCAGAATTTTTTAAAGTGAGAAATCAAGCGTGATTTCTTTGATCAGTGTTTTTAAGGAATTGAAAATGTTTTTTTTTTTTTTTTTTTCAATTTTCACATAAATTTATAATATAAGTATATCAAGATATCATTATTTACAAACTTGATTCCTTATTCATAATTACTGATCTTTAGCATTGTTGTGATTTTTCAGACAAGAAGTCATGTGAATTCCCCGAAATGGACAATGGAGTATTTGTATGTAGCATGAACCCTAAGACACACGTGGAGTCCTGCTATATTGTGTGTGAAAAGTCCTACGCTGTCAACCCGTTAGAACTGTTCAGGAAGTCTTACAACTGTGATGACACCGAAGTCCTTCTTACCCTCGAAAACATCCTCAAATACCAGCAAGGCTGTCTAAGTAAGTGGGCTCAAACAATCCTGTACATGTCATTAAATTAACTTTAAGCTAGCAATCTTCTTCACCTTATAGTAAATGAGTAGCCAAATACACTTATCAATATCGGTCTGTTCCAGCCAAAATTGTCATTGGTTTATAGCCCTTAGCAACAAAACCATCACAATAAGCACAATAATGCTGTCTCATGAAGTCCAAACTAACCTGTCCCAATAAGCCATTCAAATATGTTTCAATAATCATAACGAATCTGTATCAATAAGCCTTACAAGCCGATCTCATTAAACCCAATCATCTTGTTGCACTAAGCCATACAAGCATATCTCAATAAACCTAAAATTCCTGTTTTAATAAGTCATACAAACTTGCCTATATATATATAGCCTACTAACCTGTCTCAATAACCCCTATAAACTTATCTCAAGAAGCCTTACATACCCTCTGAATAAACCAAACAAATGTGTCTGAACAAGTCCTAAAGCATGTCTCAATAAGCCATACAAAACTGTCTAAATAAGCCCTACAGGCATGTCTCAATAAGCCATACAAACCTGTCTAAATAAGCCCTACAAACGTATGTCTCAATAAGCCATACAAACCTGTCTAAATAAGCCCCACAGGCATGTCTCAATAAGCCATACAAACCTGTCTAAATAAGCCCTACAAATGTGTATCAACCTGTAAACCTGTCTAAATAAGCCCTACAAACCTGTCTCAATAAGCCATACAAACCTGTCTAAATAAGCCCTACAAATGTGTCTCAACCTGTAAACCTGTCTAAATAAGCCCTACAAACCTGTCTAAATAAGCAATACAAACCTGTCTCAATAAGCCCTACAAACGTGTCTCAACCTGTAAACCTGTCTAAATAAGCTCCAGAGGCATGTCTCAATAAGCCATACGAACCTGTCTCAAATAAGCTGTTTTGCTTTGTTACCCTCTATATGGTTGTGTTTGTTACAGGTGTTGCACTGCCATCTGTAGTCACTCAGGAGTTTACAATGTGGTTCAAGGGTCCCTGTGAGTCAGACGACCCTGATCTGGAGGATGAACTGTACCTGTCGGTGATACAGTACCTTAAGGTACACACGCCCTGCTCCTCTCGCTTCTGTCACTTCAGCAATATCACCATTGAGTGCGACTACGACAGCAGTGTCGACCGCAATAGACGCAGCTACATGGAGAGCCTGCTGTTCATGGTCCGCTGGAATGTCACAATTGACAACGGGTACGTTTATGTCACCTGTTCAAAGATGTATCCTTGAATTTTTTTTAGACAAAAATTAGCTTTGTCAAATAAAGCAAGTGTTATAACAGGCAGTGTTTACCCTAGTTAAAAGAGAGATTGTATCATGTAGAAAAAAGTGCCTTTAAAGATAAATTGAAATACACTGCTTCAAATGTTGTATTCGGGTACATCGTGTTGATGATTCGATGATAATGAGATTTGATATTTTACATTATATTCATATAGACAGATATATCGTGATTTGCGTAATATTCAAATGTCGTCCAACCCTGGGATTGATGTGAATTTGTTAAGTGCAAAAATTTTCAAACCACAAATACTCCTATTATAAGATTCCAGGAAAGAAATACACAGTTCTAGATAGAACAAATTCCTTTGGCACATGAATTTTTCCATTTTCACATGAATTTGTAGGCTATAATAATTTGCCCGAGATGGATTCTACCGGAATTATAACCAAATGTTTGATGAAAGTTTCTGGGAAAATGACAAATTTATTTGCAGTCCGTCACATTAATATGTATCATATGTGTTTGTCTACTGTTTTCCAGAACGGATTTTCCCGAGGGTCAGGTGAGGTCTATCCTACAGGACATCCGATTGGAGTTGGAACGCCTCCTGCCTGGTTTTAGTCTCCATTTAGATAATCACCAGTATATGGCTGTTCGCAAAGTGGAAACCTCAGACCTAATCTGGAGCTGTCGCCAGGGCGAGATCTGGAACCAAGACGATTGTGGTAAGAATGGCAGTTTCGCAAGAGACTGATGATGTTAAATCGAAAGAATGTTAGTAAATTGTCTTTGCTTTTCGTTTTTAAACATTCCATAATATCCCGCCCAGACAATACTGTATTTCAATTGAATAAATTTAAGATTCAGTACCATTTGCATGCTCAAGATAACCCATTATTCCACTTGCATTGCAGTGGCATGTCCCCCAGGGTCCCGTTTCGTGGCTGGACCAACACCCTACTGCCACATATGTCCCCCGGGAACCTACCAGCCCTATGATAGACAGGAGGATTGCTTCCCTTGTCAGGACGACCTCAACTCTAATCCAGGCACCACCAGCTCCAAGCAATGTAAGATTTCTGGTGTTTTCTTGCATTCCTATGCAGATTTCAGAAACGATTTTGATTTTGTAGAATAGTTAAAAGTAATGAAACCTTGCATGTAACCATAGGACAAAAGGTAAGTTTCTTCAGGGTTTTAATTATGTCTCCCCTTCGAATAAAGGGAGACATATTGTATTAGTACTGGTTCTTCTTATGGTTCTTCTTCTTATGGTTCTTTTAATCGCAACTTGTCCGGGTAATACATTTTGAACCATTAAAGATATCTTGATGAAACTTGCAGTATGCCTGCATCGCCCACAGAAGGTGTGCAGTGCACTAGAATTAGGTCTCCTGCGCCACTATATAAAGGTATATGGCCTTTTGTTAATTGTTTATACCGAAATCTGTCTGCAGCATATTTCTCCTACGTTGACCAAACTTGCTGTATTTATGTATCTTCGGAAGGCGGAGAGTGGAGTACTGAAATCGGATCTCGTGCCGCACTACATAAAGAGATATTGCCTTTTGTTAATTGTTTATACTGAAGTTTGTCTGCAGCTTAAGTTCCATGTTATTTCTCCTACGATCACCAAACTGGCTTCCAGATATGCATATTGGCTAATAAGTGGAGACATGTTTTTGTTCTCAGAAACAAATTTCTAGTTTCATGGGGTTTTGTTCCAGGAGCATATAAGGTGGGTCCAGATTCATAGAGTACCATTGTAGTATATTGGCAACTTATATGTGGGTTTTATTTTTTGTATATCTTTTTAGAATATAAGGCCTCCAATAATTAAATGATCTGGTTATTTGAATGTTCCCGAAGGTAGTATAGCACACTTTGATTTTATTTATGATTGTTTTAGTTTGTATATTCAACATGAGCACCTATTGTTGTTATCACATCATATTTCTATCCCGATTACCCACCTTGACAAAACACATCTTTTACATCCATATCTTATGGAAAGACGTGATTTCTGGACTGGCCTGAGGATTGTATCTAAGAGAAAACATTCTTGGAAGTCATGTCAAAGTTATAGTTTCATCAAGCCTGTACAGACTTTTGTTAAAATAGGCTTCACTTAAACTTTCTTTGCAATTCATTATCTATAGTGCTCGGCTTTGAAGAACCGTCTTGTCAATTAATCTTATCATTCTTCTTATGGAACCCACTCTAGTTGCCCTTAACTTCTGTTGTGAAAGATTTAAAAGAGGGTATGATGGCTTCTGATGTAAAATGTGCTGCCTAAGAAAGCTATCACCTCACTGGCGTCAGAACTCGATGAATGCTAAGCATTATCGCTCTACACAGATCGTTCATGATCATACGATGTTAAAAAATGTTAATATTCGGTACAGTTGAAGAGGTTTCCAGCAAACGCGCTGATTAGCCTCAGATGGAGATTCTTCACGGCATCATCACGCTTGTGAAGGGGACTGTTGGAAACTTTAACAGATTTGAAGGATGCTTCTCCCATTTTCTCAATCCGGAAATTGGCATTGAGATAACCATGCTTTACTTTATATGTTAGCAGAGTTTTCTAGTTTTAGAGCCGGCTGTTTGGTTTTACGATGAGAACTTTGTTTTTCCAAGCTGTTGCAGGTGGTTGCGAGTTTCTTGCATTCTTGGAACATTAGTATTTACCCTACTTTGATGTTTTTCTCATACTTCACCCAATGTGGTTATCTTTAATGTAGACTCTTATTTGTCCCGAAACTGTTGCTGTAGATGGGATATACCATTGGAGAGAATATCCCGCCTCAGTAATTTGTTCGTCGGCAATCATTTCGCCACATTCTGGGCTTTGTTATACCTCTCCCTGGCAGTAGTTCCCTTTGGGAGGAACAAAACTGTCTGCTCAAGATCTTATTTTCTCTCCGACTGGTCCTGCATTGTAGGGATGTGAAGCAATGTCGCAGTCATGTTGGCGTGCAAAAGGGTTTGATCGTCAGGATTTTCCATTTTAAGGAGTTCCTTTGACCTACCTAGTGTACAGGGGTCCTTCCGTGATAAAGTAGGGACTGGTCCGGGGAGTAACTTTCAGAACATATCGGTGTGCTTGAACTTACAGATGTTCTGTTGGGTCTGCAATTTGTTAGAGAGGTTCTTCTGCAGTCTGTAACCTACAACTAAGCCTTAGCAGTCATTAGGTGGAACACCTTTCTAACGTAAGAGGTACTTCTTTAACGTTTTGTATTTGAGCTTTTGGGGTTCCTTGCACCATGGTGCTTCTGCCTTATTGGAATATTCCAGTCTTGTCCTTTGTGTCTGGTCTTTCTGGAGATGGGAACATGATAACACAAATTCGCAGATTTATGTGGTAAAATATTACTGAAAGGAATTGAGGAATCTTCTATTGTTATACAGATATTTATGATGTAATATTTACCATAACTTCATAAGTTTTCCTAACTACTTCCTTCTTATTTGTTGTGGCCCATGCATTATCGCGATTCTCCTGAAATAGAAGCAGAAATTATAAATAAGGTCCTGTATGCAGGTCAAAATGAGATTTGTCAAGACAGTTAATCGGGATTGAAATTTATTATTTTGCTATAAATGTATGGGAGTTAGTGTTGAGTATACATGCTAAGTTATGGTAGATACCTGTGTTACAGCATAGAAAAATAGTTTTACAATTAAAAATCTCGAGGTATTCTTTCTATTTGTTTACTTATTATTCTCGCAATGGTGTTGACTTGCACTTTATGTGAAATTGTTATGCAGATTTAAATATTTCCACCTGGCCCAAAATTTATATTAAATTTAAGTGGTTTGCTTTTATCAATAGTATAGGCCGTTCCTTCAAATATCAGTAGTGGCCTTTCTACTAATACCAGTAGCAAACTACAAATCTAGAAGTCCTTTGATTAATAAAACAAACCCGACGATATTGTTGATCTACCTTTATACAATCAGGTTCTTAGTGACTCCTCATGAAATTACCTTTAACCTTTCTCTTTGTCAGGTTTTGAAGTGACTCCTTTGGACCAAATGAGCAAATTTATCATCATCACAGCTTGTACCTTTGGATTCGTGTTCCTGGGAATGGCCATCATCCTGTATTTCCAATATAAACGTCAGCAGAAGAAGTCACGTGGTAGTAGAGGTCTAACGGTGGCCGACGGACAAAAGTACATCACCCCAAATCTATATGTGGACCCGGTCCCAATGCCCGGGTTGAGTCCAGAGCCCACCCAAAGGACCATTACCATATCAAAACCTAAACTCACGCCCGACACCAAGTCGAAGCTAAAACAGAGTCACCTTTACAGTAACCATGACTACGATGACATGCCATATACTTCTACCTTGTCCTCACTACACAATGGCTCTGCCCGAACAGTTTACCAAAACGACTTCACAAATCTGTCTCCCCCGGGAAGTCCGCGTAGTGCCAGGATGGTGGGGTCTCCCATGACAGACAGAGGCATTGGATCTCCCATGAATGATCGTGTCAATGGATCCCCTATTGCTGAGCGTATATTGGGGTCACCTGTCACAGACCGAGCTATATATAATGGAGACTTCCGAAATTTCTCTCCAACACCACGAACCAATAGTCTTAGACATCCAAGGAGCCAGTTTCACATGTATGAAGAATAATACATAGCATGTAGTGTTAGAACTGATCACTCAATACAGAAGGTAGTGCAAGACACGAGTATATTAACGGGATAATGACACGTCACATTGAATGATGTAGAATGAGTAAAACGTAAATGGGACACACTATTTAAATGTAAAATATGATTCATAATATTTACATTTCCTGCTCAATGTTGTTATTAATGTATGAGGAACAAAGTCAGGATTGATCATAGGACTTGGCACAGGAAACGGAGGAAATAGAACAATATGGCTATATCAGAGTTTAGCGGATGGGTACTGAACATGAATCCTGTCTGTATGAGGGGACGGGGACATCGCTTCCTTTTCCCTGACTTTTGAAGTGAAGCACATAAATATCATTTCAATAAATGACATCAGAAAAGAAAGAAGGATTGAAACACTATACTAAACTATACATGTGTTAATGGTTTCTTTGTGTAAAGACACGTAAAGGATGATATTCTATATCATATGTGACAGGACGTATTTGTTGCTCAGTGTGGTAAAGATGTTGACACGATACCAAGTCTCATGTTTCTAAGGTGAAATGACAACTACGTATGTGAACAAAAAATTGCTGAAATATACCTTGAAATCAAGAAAGATGTTGACACTATACCAAGTCTCGTGTTTCTAAATAACAAGGTGAAGTGACAACCACGTATGTGAACCAAAAATTGCTGAAATATACCAAGAAATCCAGAAGACTTTCTTCAAGAATCATTCCTTTTCATTTTTGTGTTGTCTTCTTTCTGATACCTATCAGTGGAAATTGTGTACAGTACAATACACATATGTCTTTTACAAGGATTTCAATTTTTTTTATTTTTTTTTATTTTTGAACAGAAATTTTGAATGTTTCATGTAAATTTAAACCAAATATTTGTCTTTATGATTTGTTTTAGGCTGTTTCATATTAAAAAATATTAACTCTGACTAGACACGCTCAAGTGTCGAGATACGTATATGTGTTACTTATGATTTCTGGTTAACTCATTCAACCCTGAAGACACACTTGAACTCTTCCAATTCAAATTGGAACAGTTCGCTATGAAATTTCAGGAGTGAATGAGTTGACATTCTTCCCGGATTCATATTGAAAGGGCAAAAAGTTAAGGACAGAACTTCAATTGTTATGAAATCAAATTTTGTTGTTTCTAATGAAATATTTTCTTGTTCCCATTCTTCTCTTAAAATGTTATGAAAGACACATTTCGTTAATTCATTATCGTTCATATCAGGGCATGAATGTTATCAAATGTTTCATGTTTGTTCTCGCAAGGCTGCAAATTGATTCCTCCTGTGTCATTGCAAATCATCGGGTTTATGAAGGTCAGTATTACATTATGTTTTAGGCAAGTTGTTTGTGTTACTAGTCTATAATATCTGAAAATAATGAAAGAGGTTTTATTTAGAGCTGTTTTCGTCTACAATATTTCAATTAGATACACCGTATTAAGCCGAACAAGTCTAAATAGGGGCTGTCCCACAATCCAGTCTCTCTTTTGGGGACAGGACTCGTATTCTTAAAATTGTTTTCGTGCCAAGCATGATCATGTGCCCAACCCAACTTTCTTTGTATGTGCTTAAATCACGGGACACGGTCAAAAAAGTCCTGTGATCATTGCAGACGGTATCCTGCTATCATTTTCTCCAAATCACGGACAGAACTATTTTTATGAAATTGTTTATCACCCGAACAAGAAATTTGGCTTGAACACAGAATCTGAGTTCAAGCATGTTTCATGAGTACGGCCCCAGATCTCTTTTTTTCTGTTTTATAAGTGTACCAATCATCCACCTGTTAAACAATTTAGTCACTTTAAGTGATGGCAAAGTTAAGTTAAAAGAGGCAAGACAGTATAATTATATTTCAAAAGATATGTGCTCACCATAAAATGGCATTGCTGAACAATGTGCCAACTGAGTTGAAATTCATTTGAAAAGAAATCACCTGTTGCGCTTAAACGCTAAGAGTCGATGCTGTATATATAAAACTTGTTACATCAAGTGACACTGGTGAGGCAATACTGCCTTTTTGTTTTTGAAACTATCAGTTTTGATGTAGGTGCTTGTAAGAGGCCACTACAATACCATTTCACTGTAAAAGCTGGTATAGTTGAAGGAGGTGGGCAATGCAGAATCTTATTTTCTCGTTTTTAAGCACTTAAACTTGTGCGCTAAATTATGATAACGCTAAGTGATGTTTGTGTAAATTGTCAATTATTGCATATTTGTGGGTGCGCTAATTCGTCTAAGCCCCCATCTGTTAAAAATCTATAACGCGCTAAATTGTAAGTATGTTTACAGTATTAGACAATACAATCAGGGATGTTTATTGCTGTTAACGTGTTTACTAGTTCAAAAAAATAATTGAAGTATTTTCAATTGTTTTCTGGTTTTTGGGTGGCAGTACCTTTCTTATTCAACTTAACGATTACCAGGCTATTCCATTGTTTAATATCAGACAATCAGGTGTAGATAATAAGTTATACGTTTAGCTTCCGTATTTGTCACTCAGATCTTACTACCCTAGTTTATATCCTAATTAAGGCGAAACGCATTACTGCAAATTTAAGGATCTTTTTTCCCACCGCAAGCAGATCACTGGAGAATTTCCTGCGTTTTTTCCGCACATGAAGTTACCTCTTCAGTAATTTTCTTTTTAGAAAAGGATTAACAAAGCAACAGTTATGCCTGAAAAATGTTTCCAATGCATAGTGATAGTTGTTGGCAGTTGTACGGGGACCCTAAAGCACATACTTGTTTTTAAAAACGAGTGATACATGTATGCTGAAAATATTTGAAAAAATATCTCAAACACATACTGTGGAATCAGATAGTTTTTTGTTAGGCCCAAATTTCGTTGTTTCCCGACAGAACACAGTTTTTGGGTACATTAATTTGTGGATTACGAGTACCCACTCATACGGAGAATGTCTTTATATCAAACTTGTAATCACTTCGTGGACCTATGAACTGTTGATGAAGATTACCCTTGAAACGAACGAAATTAAAAACCCTACCACGATTAGGGATTTCACAGTAAATATAGTTATAAATCAGTTTAGAAATCTTTTTAAAAAAATTGAAATTCCTTTGACGAAAAAACCCCGATTTTGGATTAAATGTGAATAGCCACAGATGCGTGGGATTACTCTAGCAACAAATGCCACCTTTGAAATACCTGATTATTTCGGAATACATGTGATTGTACTGCTTTTACTGTGCCATTTTCAGTGTATTGTTATATCTATCATTGTATTATGGTCTTGCAGTTTTAGCATATCCTGTTGTTGATGATATATGGATATTCCTTTCGACAACAGTAATCTCTGCTGCCATATTTTATACAAGCCTCATTGCCTAAGCGTGTATTTGTATATTTGTACAAATGATGTCAGTAAATTGTGATCAACTGGTGCCCCTTTTTATGACTGGTATATATTTTTTCAAGTGTATGTAAAATAAATGTCGTTGGAAACAGTTGTGGAGGACGGGAATGCATTGTTAAAGGAAGGTCAGGACTAGGTTTTAAGGACAACATTCTGTATTCGACTTGGATGCATATAGAACTTCAAATAAGATAATAAAGATTATAATACATATTCAAATTTTTTATCTACGTTTTTATACCCGTATCAGTTTTGAATTGTTTATCGAAATAAAATTAAAGCCGAAGACGGTCATCAAATTGAGTACAAAATCAAGTATAAATATCCGACATTCCTGGTGTGCCAGTCTCCGTCTTATTTTGTTCTCGCATTTATGATGTACACGACGATCTCTAATGAAGGGCATACTACACATATCTAGTATGTTGAATGGTGGAATATCCTTTGGAACACTGCTTAAATCTTTGGTTGAAAAATGTCTACAAAATTCATACTGAAAATATTAGCACAGTTTAACCATTTCATTATCTTTTTAACTACAAATGAGATTTTTCAGCATAGTTTAATGCTCTCATTATATTTGTATTGTTTTTTTAATCTCAATAAAAATAATTAAAAATAATTACCAAGGAAAACAATGCGACAAAAAAGTTGAAAACTTTAACTCATAACTGCATTTTTATCAGTGATTTTTGACTTTGAATCATCATTTTACGTGACATTCAATGATGGCTATCAAACTGATGGGTATTCATCAGTGTTTTCTATTAATTGGCTAAACACTTTCGATATTTATCATATCAAATATTTGAATATTCATCATACTCATACTTTGAATATGTTTGTTATTACTTTTTGTTTTTATGATATTAAGTTTTGAGTAAACATGCCTTCAACATCTAATTTACATACAAATCATGTTTAAATACTCATCTCATCAATATTTGGTTAGGTTTAGAAATGAGTTCTTGATCATACACGTTGTCAATATTTGAATACTCATGGTGTCAATATTTGACCAGGGACGCCCTGATGATAATGCTTCAATATTCATGAGATCAATGTTTGAATATATATGATATTATTATTTGAATATTCATTTATGTAAATAACGCATTCAAGCCCCTCCACCGCCTGCCCGACACACAGTTTGCTGCCCCTGTGTATATGTTGTATATACTTTGTGATACTACATGTATGTATAATATCACGTGCTAAAACAAGTCCATATGATGGCTTTCTGTATACTTTGTTGATCATTAATATCACAACATGTTGTGTCAATATTTTTGTGCGTACTTTATACGTGTATTTATTGGATATCATTTTTGCAAATGAAAAAAAAAAGTGAAACTGTGCCATGAATATCATCTTCAAAGTCATCATATATACATTGAACATTAACAATAAAAGTTGTCTTTAATGAAAAGATGTTTTTTGTTTATAATAATAATAATAATAATAATATACAGCATTTATATAGCGCCCTATATAATGTGTAAAATTAGTCTAAGGGGCTTTACAACATATGGATAAAAGTAATGGTTATAATTGTGAAAAAAACAAAGGCTTGCAATCACTTTCATACATTTAACAAGCAATGTGCACATAATTGAACAAATAAAAGGGTGGTATTTACATGACGTCTTTGCAAAGATTCTAAAATGCAGACGTGAAGAGGTGAGTTTTAATGTCCCTCTTGAACTTGGCCAGGGTGTTTGACTTCCTAAAAGCAGATGGTAAGCTATTCCACAACGTAGCCGAAACCCTCCCAAAGCATCTGTTTCCGTAGTTCACAGATTTTGGGACACACAACAAAGATTCTGACTCCGACCGCATATACGGTTCATGTTAATGCCACTGTATCAGTAAAAATCGCGAAGAAGAGTTCCATAAATAATTTTTTGACTTTGAGTATTCTCCGTTTTATATAGAAGATGAAACAACCAAATACAGTTTTATGGCTTAGAGTAACTTTCCTTGCAACGTTTTCATATGCTTTGCAACCCATTTTGATACTGTGGTTGTATAATTCCTGGCAACATTGGTTAATTGTAGAGTTTGCAATAGAAAGGCATTTTGTTGCTTTTTTATTCTTTCTATTTTCAAACCTTCATATTTCAAACGCATATAATTTTGTTATATGCATGGTAACATGTGATTTTTATGGAATGTTTCTTTCCAAAAGGGGACATGTCACTGTCATGACAATGGATCCTCCCATGGAAGATATCAAAGTAACGGAAGTTTATTAAGTTAATGGATCCACAGGAAAGACATCACATTAGGAACGCCAATCAACGCCGTTTATGTAGGTCACATGGAAGTATGTTACGTTATAAGAATAGATCCAAGAGGGATCTTGGCGCCAACCATTGTACCATCTTCATTACTTTTATGTCAGTTCAATCTTTTCCCTTATCTATTTGATCACTTTTCCTGTCCGCCATCTTGATCAACCTCAAATGTTTACACGCACAACTCAGTACAAAGGGCAACCACGCACAGCTCAGTACCAAGTGAACCTACATACCAAATTTGAGAAAAATCCTCTAGTAAATTCTGAGAAATAGCGATAGCAAACTGAAACTGTAACCAGATGGCCGGCCGATATGATTGATATGCAAAACTAAGAACAAAGGGTACCCTTATGTGAAATTTGAGAAAGATCCCTTCAATACGTTTTGAGCAATAGGGCTAAAAAACGTTTACTCCCTTATCCAATACGACCAACTGCCAGCCATCTTGGTTTTCCAATCATCCCCAAATTTTGAAACGGGGAGGACCCCTCCAGAACTTTCACAAAAACAAACAAACAGTGCTAACAAACTAACTTTTAAATTCAAGATGGCTCCCTGTCGGCAATTTTTGGTTTTGTTGATCAGTCCCAAACAAAAGATATACTTAACAAGGGATCATTGGGAACATTCATGTGAAATATGAGAAATATCCCTCCAGTACTTTCTAGGGTATAGCGCTAGAAAACTTTAACTCTCAAGTTCAAGACGGCTGCCTGTCGGCCATCTTGGTTTTGTGACCAGTCCCAAAAAACGATATGCATAACTAGGGACGATGGGGCTTGGCTTGGTTTAGTATTGTTTAACGTCCTATCAGCAGCTATGGTCATTCAAGGACGACCTCCCCTGTGTGCAAGATGCATGCGTGTTTTGGGAGGCTGCGATATGTTCGTGTTAATCTCCTTGTCAGAGCGCGGACCTGATGCCGACTTTATAGTGCTACCTCACTGAAACATACTGCCGAAGACACCCAGCAGGACACTCCACCCGGTCGAATTATACTGACAACGGGCGAACCAGTCGTCCCACTCCTAAAGTGCTGAGCGTTAAGCAGGAGCAGAAACTACCATTTTACAGACTCTGGTATGTCTCGGCCAGGGAACAGAACCCGAAGCCTTCCTCACAGGGGCGAACAAGGCCAAAAGTGAGGAATTGTCAAGGGAGACATTAGGAAGAAGAAAGCTGTTTAGAAAGAAGAGAAAAGATAAGATCCCAAATTTAGTCGCCTCCTACGATCATGCAATGGGGGCAGCAGGTACAATTCTTACGCCCTTCCTGCAGGGATGGGGACGATCGGGAACCTATATGTGAAATTGGTGAAATATCCCTCAAATACATTATGAGAAACAGCGTTAACAAACTTTCATTCTCAAATTAAAGATGACTGCCTGTCGGCCATTTCGGTTTAGCGATCAGTCCCGAAAAACGATATGCATAAGTTAGGATCATGGGAACCCTTCATGTGAAATTTGAGAAATATTCCTCATGTACTGTCTGAGAAATAGCGCTAACAAGAATACTTTAAGGGCGGACGGACGACGGACGCAGGGTGATTTGATCAGATGGTGGACTAAAAATTTGATCCCACCTTTAATATATGTTTGGTTTGGTCTAGTTTATAGGGGTATAAGAACGTAGCGGATTTTTCGTTATATATACGTGTTCATACAGCTGTTTGTGTAAACGGTGAAAGGATGAAGGTGTTTTGTTACACACTCTGACACCGTCGTGTCTGTAGACGTGATTGAGAATATATCATAATGTAAAACACACCCCGTCGCTAAAGACAAGTTATTGGTATACACTAATATGAATACGGCCGTTCATAAGTAATCAGTAAATGAACGAAATTAAACATAAAAAGGTTCCGAATGTTTTTGGGCCATTGGTTATTGTTTGGTTCAAGTTTTCATGATGGAAATTGGTTATATATACGGGATATTAATGACTAATGATTTGAAGAAAATATTTAATTCATTTAAAGAACAAGTGTTAGCATGTGAAAAACAGCAATACCATACGTACGTGTTCATCTGACGTCTCAGATTGTACTTGCTCGGACTAAAGCCCTGGTGTAATGTATCCTTATTGATCTACGCTTTCTACCAATATCTGAAAATCAGATGAAAACATTTAATGAGTCTGCATGCAATCATCCCGTACAAACAGCCGAACGTATGTGTGAGTCAGGTAGTGTGTAGTGCTCAAGTATCCCACGGTAAATCCTATCTCTTGGGAATGGAACGATACTTTAAGCGCCATGTCGTTTCTGTAAGCAAAACAGTTATATACACCCACGCTTTCTTTTTCTGCAGGCAAGTAGGTAGGGAACAATACATTGGGGATACATCTACCTGTGAAATACAATGTAAAATAGAGGTTTTTCACACCTCCACAACTGTCAGATGTTTCAATTGTAATGCCTCTCCAGAGATGATTGTTTACATCAAAATGTTTTTTAAAAATAATATATCAAAGACTAAACATCAATATCCAGTTATGCAAATTAAATTTATAAGAAAACAAAAAAAGATTCAGGATCTATGTATGATTGTTTACAGACAATAACCATATACTATTCTGTGAAACAGATACATACTGCACTATGCATTACGTTATTCATCACGTAAAATAGAAAGCTAACAAGTTGCAGAGAAAAATGATATACTGTCCGTGAGCCCTTGGGATTAGAGTTTTGATCATATGTGATATACATCTGTTGTCAAATGGGACGAAACTTCAAGATCAATTCATAGTGGAAACTTCTGTCAGATGAATCAGTATTTGGTACGAAATCATAAATGTTAAAAGTTGCATAAGACATTTTCAACAGACCATCGGTATTGCAAAGGAGGTGGTATACCATATTTCCATATCTGGATTAGTGTTTTTTATTGCTATTTGTTTGCTTCTGATGAAGCGGAAATCTATAATGACTTTGAAATAATCTTAACAAATACTTATAATGGATGAAAAATAGAGTATTTGTTCATTATTTGACAAACGCTTACAAAGTGTCATACCGTTACAGACTTCGACGCTTATCGGGCAGCCTTTGGCTGGATTGTGTATTTGCTTTACTTAAAAATTGTAAACACATTGTTTCCTATTCCATTCACTTATTTGTTTTGTGAATATCAATCTTAAAAAAAAAATGCCAAAACATCGAAAAATACCATCATAAACAAAATCCTCAATCGTCTAGAAGATAAATTGTAGCAAATCCTTATTTTTGTAAATGCTGTTGATAAATGTGCTGAATAGGCAAATCAAGAAAAAAATACCGGCTATTACATTTTCTAAATAGACAATATCTATAAAGCGTCTCATATAAATTCTTAAATAAGTCAACACAATTTATCTTTATATATAAAATAACATGAGGTTTCAGCACTGAAGCAGACACTGGTGGCACACACGGATACATAATAAAAATGACGAATAACCTTGATTCCTTTTTTGCACGTGTTAGGTGTGAAAACATATATTTTCAAATTGTTTCATACAAAATAAAATAAAACCTGAGGAACTCAATTCTTCATAAATCCCAAATTACCTACCCAGTACAGCAAAAGCATGTGTCGTACATGAAGAACTGCTCTAGGTTCATAAACAAAAAAACATTTTACAACAGAGTATCCTATTATCATAACTATACTTGACTTTATTGTGTCGCTGTGAGGGGTGTCATTAGGTATCAGTGACAGCTGGAGGGTACAAGTGTACTTCAAAAGAATAACTTGGTGACTTAATAACAATACAAAGAAATGCAAAGACGTAATGTCAATCAATCTATATTTATCATTTCTTTCTGACTGTTAAGATTAAAATGAGTTTTAAAAAAATATATCAATAATCAGTGATGCAAAGGAATTTGATCAAAACCACAAACTTAATTTAAGACATGTGCATGATTGTTTATACAGTCAGCATATAAAATAACACTATTCAAGGAAACAAACTGTGTAAGAAAAGTGACATTTTGTTTGTCGTTCTAATGGTGTTGAGGAGAAACAAATGTTTGTTGTGAAAACATGGCGTTATTCTTCAGCTGAAATGCATAGCTAATAAGTTTGGGAGAATAATAATAAACCGTGAGCCCTCGGGATAGGTTTTTGACAATACATGTTATATAGTGTTTAGTCAAATGCAACCAAACTTCAAAATCATTTCAATTCGTTGAGGAAAACGTATGTGAACAATTTAGATCTGAATTAGATGATGGTTTTACCTTTGATGTAGCTGAACTCTACAAGGACATTTGAAATAATCTTTAACAAATACTTGCTTGTATAATGGATGGCAAATAGAGTATTTGAATATCATTAGCCAAACTCTTACCAATCTTTCACACTTACAGGCTACACAACGCTTACCTGGCAGCTTTTGGCTGACATATATATACATTATTGTTGATTGTGAATTTAATATCATTAATCATCCGAAATATAAATTTAGAAATCCTTATGGATGCTGTTGATAATTGTGCTAAAATAGAAGATCGAAAAAAGTACAGGGTGTTACGTGTTCTAAATGGGCTATATCGATAGGCGTCTTATACAAACTCTTTAATAAATAGGCCGCGGAATATTCGGGTGATAAAAATAATTTATCTTTACATATAAAACAGTCCGGGGTTTTCGCACTGAAGTTTGAATGTGTTCAAACTGTTTGATACCAAAAACTCGAGAAACGTGATAATTCATACATCTTAAATTGCCTACCTAGAACAACATAAACTGCAAACGCATGTATCATACGTAACAAACAAGAAACAGTTTACCGTAGAAAATCTTATCATCATTACCTGTCAAAAGTTATCCTTGACATTGTTCTGCACGTGATAAGGAATACGATATCAACTATTTGCCATAAATTGTGATGAGACAGATGTTGGCGGAAAAATTCAATAGCTCAATTGTTATCATCGTGTAAAACTAAATATGTATAATTTAAACTGATTTTTTTTATATCGCTCAGGCTGAGGAAGGCAATGCTGCAATGGCTGACGAAAATGATGTCGTTAAGGATAAAGATTGTAGTGTTGCTAAGGGTATAGTAGACCATATTGGATCTGTGGAGGAGTGCAGTGTTTCCGAAGACGATGATAGTGGTGGAAACAAGAATGTTCCATGGGCTTCCAGACTTGACTTCATCGTCTCGCTGTTAGGGATGTCACTTGGTATTAGCGACATCTGGAGGGTCCCCTATCTTGTCTACAGAAATGGTGGGGGTGAGTATTTATTTCAGATCCTCTAACCAGACTACAGAGGGAGTTGGTGGGTATATATTTATATAGAGGAATAACCAGTACATGTTTTTTTGGTACATGGCCTATTGCTATTTTGCCCCAAAATCTATAAAAAATATCAAATCCTTTAATTTTATTTGAACTTTAACATATTTGATTTGCTAATACTTAATACTTCAACGAAGCTATTTTGATACATTATAATTTAATTTCAAATTATCTTTGCTAAGGTAAGCATTTGAAATTTGCATAATTAAGTGAAATTTTAGAATTTTCAATGATATTTCTGTGCACACTTTTTATCTATTGAAAACTATTTTGTGCTAGGTTAAACAAACATAATATCCAAGGGGAATGTGTAGACATTGCATTTGATGACTGGGAATTATGTAGCGCAAGTTTGTTAATAGTTAATAGTTTTTGTATTGTTAAGACAGGTGGTTATCGTATTTCAAAATACAGTGTATTTGGCCCTTATAATACAAACCGTCGATAAAAGGTTTTCCTTCTTAGTCTCTTAGTAGTTTATCTGTACATAGCGTTTCCATTGAAAGAGAGATAAGAAGACCGTTATGTTCACGATAATACTGTGACACGACCTATATGTATGTGAACACTTCTAAATACACGTGGTCTACGAATCGTAATAATCCAAAGACGATAACAATCGAACTTGTTTGTTTTCAAAATAAACATCACCTTCAATAGTTGACTTGGACATAACATGTAAATTTGTAAAAGAAAAATCATACACAGTAAACATATATGGGCTCGCTTATACTGTTATTTTTCAGGTTATGATATTTCCTAATCTAAAATACAATGAGATACCTAAAGGTTTGCGTTAATACACGCTAAATGCTATTTACCAACGCGTATACTACCATGTCGTTTGTTTAAACACACCAGAATCGATTGGACTTTCTTTTTAACTTAAAGTTATATCGCTTGATCCTTTATGTACAAATGATGATGCGGTTGATTAATTCTTAAAAATAAGATGTAAGGTATGTTTACAAAGTAGTGAATGCTATATGCCCTCGTCCGTTTCGTGAATTGTTTAGTTTATTTCTCCTGATAGAAATGATACAATTTAAATCATGTCTATTTTCAGGAGCCTTCTTGATCCCTTACATCACACTCCTGTTAGTGTGCGGACTGCCGCTATATTACATGGAGTTAGAGATGTCACAGTTCTCGGGGAAGGGACTTTACAGAGTATGGGACTTCGCCCCATTATTTAGAGGTGTGTTCCGCTTTGAAGGTCGGGCTATCTGAAATGCTTCGTGGCGCGCCCTTTAAAATGATTATATATTTTGAACATGCAAATATTAATAATGATAGACAGCATCTTAGCATTTTCGACTGACCGGTGTGTCGAAGTCAAACTAGTCGGTAGTGCTGTGCAAACTTCTCACTAACAGTAAGTAGCATGTTTGTTACTGCCTGGATTCGTTTGATTAAGGATGCCTTTCCCATTGCAGGCAAACACAGGAGAAATCCACTGTTGTTTTTAGCTCACCTGGCACGAAGCCCTGATATTTGTCCAGTAGATATCTAAGATGGGGTGTTATACAGTTTACTAAAATATAAATGACCTTGACCTACTGCCAAAGTCAAAGGGGTCAATTATCTAACAAAAATTTAAACAACTTCTTCTGCACTACCAGGAGGTCATGGGTGGTGATATTTGACCAGTAGCATGCTGAGAAAGAGAAGTATTACGTTTCATTTAGTCTGGAACATTTTATAGGTCAAGGAGACTCGATATATGAAAATATTGGCTAAATTTCTTTTTATTGAGAACAGTTTCCCATGATTGTTCAAATATCCAGGTGAGCGATTCAGACCCGTTGGGCCACTTGGTTTTATATAGAACGACCATCAATTGATTTCAGTTTTTGTATAATAAAGTGTTCAAAGGGGCCATGCTACTATTGTTGATCAGGTAGCTCAGTTGGCTAGAGCTATTGTACAGTGATCGATAATCAATGGTTGGAAGCCTGGCCTCTTTGCACTTTTACACTCATAACTCTGGCGCCTATTTAATCATTTCTTTTTTAATTCTTGTTTCATCATTGTTTTCATATGAGTTCCAAAAGATTAGAAAAAAAGAAATAGTAAAAAGAAATATAAATAGTAACATTTGTTATAGTGGTATTTGAATCCTTAAGAAGCATGATGAATAGGATGAAAATATTGGCAAATATTACTTTACAATATGATTTTGAGTATTATGGTTAGCTATCTGATATGACTCTATGGGTTGTTCTGCTGTAGGTATTTGTATAACGATGTTTATTCTGGGAGGAGTTAGTATGTCCATATACCCAACTATGCGAGCCTGGACCATAGAGTTCCTTGTTAACTCATTTCGGTCTACCTTACCTTGGTCAAACTGTAACAACACGTGGAACACTGACCGGTGTGTTGAAGTCAAAATAGCCGGAAGTGCTGTACAAAACTTTTCATCAACAGTAAGTACTTACCGACATAAAATGTGTATTACAAAGTGGTATTAGTATAACATGGAATTATATGTAATTTGTCTCATACGGTAAGAAAATGGTCCCAAATACTAAAAAATAAATTGAACTACTACTTGCATCATCTCTCCGTCAGAATATTTTAAGCTAATAAGTCAATTTGGTATAAATAGTATTTCCGGTTCCTATAAACCTATTTAACATGAATTGCTATGTCAGTTAATTTGATCCTAAGCCTTTTATAATATAAAAGGTATTTTCCCGTCAAGTTTGATTTGCGGTTCTGATAAAAGTGACATTAACCTTTAAGTTAACATCTTTTTTATGTACAGAATACATTTTTAATGGTTGCCAGCAACATAACAAACATGGTGGTATCTCCAATAATTTCGGTCGACGGTATGTCTGCGGCGGAGGAGTTTTGGCAGTAAGTCATCAGTGGTTTACACATTGAATTATATCACTATTAAGCAGTTATTTCATGCTTTTACGGTTTTGACTGTTGGCAGTTAAGACACGAAACAGTTATATTGTTACCTGATCAATGGTAAAAGAAATTTCTGACATCATCTGCATCATTAGTGTCTTTGACCTGTGGCTGTTAAGCGCGGTTGTCATCCAATATGTTTGCCATGCAACAGTAAAACTATTGAGGGAGCAACTGTTTTGAACTGTTGACTGGCTTGATATGTTTTGCTTGTGAAATTTCTTGGTTAGAATTACTCTGCATGTGTTATACAGAGTTTCGGGTAACAAAACACAATACCTTAAAGCTAAGAGGCATGTTTTTGCACACATTAGTTTATTAACTTTCTAATTGTGTTTTGTTTCTGCATTAAATGTCGACTTATATTTGCTTTTAATGTCTTTCCTTGATTGGCTAATCATCCCTTAAAATGTATCTGTTTGCCACAATATCTTTTGAAATATAACCGGATATATATCGCAGGATACCGTTTGGTTTGGTTTAGTACTGTTTAACGTCCTATCAACAGCCATGGTCATTTAAGGACGGCCTCCCCTGTCTGTAAGATGCATGTGTGTATTGTATGCATGTATATTGTGGGAGGCTGCGATATGTTCGTGTTTGTCTCCTTGTATAAGCGCGGAACTGATACCGACTTTAAAGTGCTACCTCACTGAAACATACTGCCGAAGACACCCAGCAGGACACCCAGTTCTGCATGTAATCACCTCACCTTGAATCGCTGGGATCGTGTCATGAACTGTTATTTTCCTATTTCAGAAATATGTCAGTAAACGATGCTTAAGCGTTTGGAATTAAAAGAAAAAAATATTATCAAAATGCCAATAGCTACTTTATAATTATTTTCAAACATTTTGAACCTTAGCAAATAATGTTACTTTTGCGTACACTTGTTGACGTTTCGATAACATCAGTTGTTTGTTTGTCTTCGCAAGACATCATGTCCTTGCCTTGTCTTCTGGAATAGAGGACGTCGGCCCTATCAACTGGAGGTATGTTATCTACCTCATCATCACCCACATCCTCGTCTACCTCTCTTTAGTGAAGAGCGTCAAATCTTTCGGCAAGGTTCGTATTCGACTCTTATGAACTAGCATCTGGTTAAGAGTGCCCAATTATTCAAAGTTGATGATGTGCAAAATATTTTACATTATTATAGCAGTACAAAGTATTATATCGCGATCAAAACACCCTTGTAATGTTTGATTTCATATCTAGGAGTTTAAGAGGAAGGGTTTTTATTGATATATTTAAATCGCGTTGTTAACACGTATTTGAGCTGTTGATTGTTGCTGATTTTCAGGTGATGTATGTGACAGCCTTACTACCCATTGTTTTGGTCCTGGTAATCTGGATCCGAGCCCTTGCGTTGCCCGGGGCATTGTCGGGTATGGCGTACTTCATAACACCAGATTTCTCCATGCTGTTAAACTCTAAAGTAAGTACCTATCACCTTAACATCCTGTGTACAGTGCAACACCAACGAAAACGCTTCTTGACGCTGGATTTCTCCATGTTTTCCATCTCGAAAGTAACTTATTTATCCCATCAAAATGTAATGTATTTCATTACAATGCAAACTAAGATCTTACGTAAAGTCCAACTACAAAGTAACAACGAACATCGCCATGCAGTCCAACTCTTCATAATCATATCGGACTAAAACATCTATCACTTATAAATGACCGGGATTGGGTTATCTCAGTCAAGGGCCAATATTCTGTAACATAATACCAACCAAGGTGTAAGTTGAGATGGGATGTTACAAGTCCTCTTCGCACCTACTAGTTTGAAAAACTAATCAGTTTTGCTATAGCCTACAAGTATCCCGTTTTGGGCCAAAACTAATATGGTTTCTTCACATCTGAAGCTACATTTGAATGACGCTTACCCTTCAGTACTCTTGTTTTAGTTGTTGCGAGCTGTCGAATGAATGACGTCTTACTATAACGCATTCGTTCCTTCATGAGTAGGCGGAGAAAGGGTTTATGACGCATGGTGTACTTAACACTCGTGTTCATTGCTACATGGGTAGATACAATTGTAAATACTAGTATCCTTCAAACTTACATTCATTTTTGTTTTATACTAACGTGCAATTTCATGTTCATTCTTTCAGGTGTGGATAGAGGCGGGATTCATGGCTTTCTACACGCTTGGCCCAGGCTGGGGAGGACTTGCTACGTTCGGCTGTCACAACAAATTCAACGAGAACATCTTGACGTACGAAACTTTAATTTTGGTAAAATTCCTATAATGAATAGATGTTATCAATATTTGAACATCTTAAGAGTTTTATTATTTTTCATATTTATGTTTGGGACTTTGATATGGTATCTTGATATTTGTTCTTTTATATAGAATGTTTAGAACCTAAGAGGAATTATTGAAAATCCATGTAAAAAGAAATCTGCGTATAGAACAGCTAGAAGGATTAAATCAATTGACAAACATCATTATTAGATCATTGATGGACATAAACAAGTCAATGTGGTGCACACTATTATAACGTGCGGGCGGTCACCCATGCAGACAATGACCACGCTTGCGTTGCTAAACTAGTGAGCACGTCCCAGGTTCAAACCGAATCGCTGTAAAAGCTAGTTTGGCAGTTAGGCACTATTCCACTCTTCCCTCCCGATATGTCCCGTTCTGAGATTTTGCCTGGGGAATCCCGTGGGTCCTCCCTGTGTGTAAATGCACCTTCCCTAACCACTGGAAACTGGCCTTTTATGACACCCAAGGATGTGACCGCTGTCATAAAATATAACGTAAAGGTGGGCACCCATCAAGCCAGTAACCACGCTTGACGTTGCTGAACTAGTGAGCATGTCACAGGTTCAAACCGAATCGTTGGAAAAGCTAGTTTGCCAGTAAGGCATACTTTCCTTTCACATTCTTAGGTTGTTACAATAATCCTTCCCGAAAAGTTCCGTACTGCCATTGACCACGCTTGACGTTGCTGAACTAGTAAGCGCGTCCCAAACATTGCTGGAAAAGCTAGTTTGCCAATAAGGCAATATTTTTTCTTCATATTCGTAAGCTGTTTCACCATATCCCTCTGGCTTCTAGCCCCAGAAATAGTAGTTTTCGTCTACCTTACTTGCAGAACGGAATACAAAAAAAAGATATACCATTAAGCAGAAGGATAACTTTTATAAGAAGAGTAGTATCTATCCATTTGTGTTTTTAAGAGGACTATAGAGAAATCGGGTATTTTGGTCAACAACAGCAGATTTTCAGAGGTGAAAAGAATATTGTAAAAAAGACAGATATGTATTAGGGTCTTTTATTTTTTTACTGGACGCTTAGAAAATTTTGGTTTTCTCTTTTTATCTTAACATGATGACAACGACATCATTCAGTCGCTCAGTTGCAATGGAACTAAAGATGTAGTCTATTTATGTTAATTTAGTGACGTCACAATCACCACCGTTGTTGTACTTCTGTTTGGATTGCTGAACGGTCTCGTTGTTTTCGCTGTAGTCGGCGTCATGGCAGAGGAGTCGGGAATACCTGTTCCAGAAATAATAACATCAGGTCATGTGCTTTCATATATCAGTATCAATTTTTCAAAATACTAACAACAATACAGCACGTGTTCAATCTGTCTAAATGTATCTGGTATATTGAGTAAGTATCATTAGAAATTAGGTCAAACATTATTTCTACGGAACCTGATCCCTTTAATATAAAGAACTAAGGCCCTGACTTTTGTACCTGTTTTCTTATATAAATCAATTTTCCTTTGACTCCAGACCTTGATTTATTATTACCAATGAGGTTTCACAGGGAAAAGTTCTTTTCTCATATAAATCGATTGCTGTATGACTTGTAATCTTGTCTTAATCTTACTATATTAGTACGTACTTATCGGGTTGAAGGAATTTTAAAACTCAACTTAATAATACCTTCAGATCGGTTTCATAGTTTTTGTAGTATTCTCCCATCTCCTGACCTTTATAGATGTTCGCATTTACAGGAGGGTTTTCTCTAGGTTTCGTAGCTTATCCCCAGGCTATGACCTATCTACCGTTTCCCCAGGTGTGGTCTGTTCTGTTCTTTCTGGCCCTGTTGATGCCCGGCATGGATATGCAGGTAAATGGTTTCAGTGTTGAAGTCCGATTTCAATGTCTGTTTAATAAGTATGAATGGCCATCTACATAACATGCATGAACATGTTAGTGATCCTTATTTAAAGTATAATCGAAATTGTTATTTCATAAACGATCGAAATGCATGATGATTAAACAACAATTACACAGGTTTGACTGCCAGGCTTTTCTGCCTTCAGGCGAACTACTGTTAATAAGTTACCGTAAAATACATGGCAACATCAATAGTTGCCTAGTAAACAACCTTAGGGACGTCACAATCAAAACCAGGACAAAATATGATTATTATTTTTATTTTCCTTGCAGACAGTCACCTTTGAACCGATGATGAATATTTTAGAGGAGGCGTTTCCAAGGCTACGTAAGCGCCGCCTGGTGGTATTAGGGCTGGTAACAACCATCGTGTTTCTATTTGAGCTTCCGTTCCTCACACGAGTAAGATTTCATATAGTTTGGACGGCTAGGCATTCTGCTAAGAAAACCATTCTCTGGGATATTTATGTACATACTTTATTAGAGGTGAGGTTTTTGAGAGAGTCTTCTAAGCTCATTCAAGTATTATTGTATAAAGATAAGCAAGCTCGAAAAGTTATACAGTATGAAGAGTTTTGTTTGGTTTAATTTTGTTTAACGTTCTTTTGCCAGCTAAGGTCATTTAAGGACATGTCCATGTATGTAATGTATGAGTGCTTGCGTTTGTGTATGCAGGAGACAGGGTATGTTGATGTGCTTGCTTTCTTGTGATAGCGACTTTATTGTGTGCCCACTTTATAGAGCTATCTAACTGAAATACCATGCCGAAGGCAACCAACACAGCATTCCACCCGGTCATTATAATTATAATGATAACGGGTGAACCAGTTGTTGCCATTCCCCTAAATACTGAACGCTAAGCAAGGAATAACAGCAACCAATTTAAGGACTTTGGTATGTCCCGGCTTTGGGACAGAATCCATTGCCTTCCTCACCTTGGCTCTCAACAAACGTGAGGTGTTGCCAAACAAGGCGCAAGGAAATAAAAGGTAGTTAGAAGCAAAAAAACAAAAAAGATAAGGATCCCAAATATTGCAATGGGTCCAGCAGATTTATTTTTATTTTCCTAAATAGAGGACACCAAAGCAAATCCCCATTTCTGCAGGAATCCTACATAAGTCGCCTCCTACTATACATTGCAGTGTGTATTAAATGGTCTTTTTAAGCTGGCTTGGTTGCCTAAGGTAGAACCTCTGAAAGCGTTATTACAGATTTCTTTGAATAAAGCTTGCTATGTTTACCCTTAACCCCCTACAGGCCGGGGCCTACATCTTCCAGCTTATGGACTGGTACGGGGCGGCTTTCAGCGTAGTTGCCAATGCTCTCCTTGAGGCTGTCGTCTTCTTCTGGATATATGGCAAGTTCCAAGCACTAATTATTTGAGTCAAAAGCTTCTATTCATTATTTATTTATTATCTGTTATTTCTTTATCCATTGAAAATACTTCTTTTCGCCATTGCTTGACCATTGACTTATTCGAGAGTGACTTATTTCATTATTTATTATTGAAAACAAACATATTGGTCTTGGGTGGATGTTGCGGTATCTGTGCTGTAACATTCAAGTGAGGTGGCACTATAAATGATGCCGTTGGAAGCACGGTCCCACTACAAACAGAACACATTACATCTCCAACACACACGCACACATATAGGGAACTTTTAACCAGATGGCATAGGACTAGTAGTAAGCGCTTGATAAGGCAGCTCCTGTGGATTCCTCAAAAATTGTGTTGATTAACGTATATGCTAATTGTATTAATTACTGTAAAGTGTTTTACAGTGGCTTATGTTAGCTAGATAGGGCGCTATATCAAATGTTGTATATTATTATAATTATTATATTATATGTATATCATAAGCGCATCATTTACGGTATTACCCGCATTTACGTTTAACGAAAAATGTAAATCACGCAACGAGATATAATATATTTTACAGATTTCATTTTGGTAGGACATATGTTTTCCCAAAATTATCAATATATTATTAAGAACCTATTTCAGATCATGCTGTCAGATCAGACCAAAATGTGAATTACAAACATTTCGTAAATATATAGTAATATCCGTCTTAGCAAACCCCTTAAATAATTTTGCTTCAGGTGAAAGTCGCCCATTAACCTATAGTAACCGTGGTAAACAAGCATAAATGATGTCAATGTCTGATTGCGACGGTCGGTTGGCGCAGTGGGTGGTCAGGTGGCGCAGTGGATAGCGCACTTGCCTTTTACAAAAACGCCCGGGTTTCGATTCCCTGATCGGACGTAAAACGGTATGTAGTCATCTGCCCGACTGCGTGGGTTTTCTTCGGGTACTCCGGTTTCCTCCCACATTAAGGCCCCCTGCGAGTTAACATCAGGGCCAACCACAAAGATTAATATATGTTGAAGTCACTTGTTTCATAAGATGTTATGATGTGAATGTCTTATTGTGAAATAAATAAAGTTTACATAATGTCTGACACCATAAGAACACTGTCTCTATTTATAAGACTTTGTTGAGACGTTATGTATTTGATTTTCCAGAAGAATTCCGAACCAATGTCACATGACATCGTACAGGAAAGAAATATTATTCCTGATTAGGTGAAACGCTATCGAGTATTCATTTCTATGGTTGGATCTGGGCGTATATTGTAGATCGGTTTGGTTTAATTACCTTGAGGTTTTAACAACACCTTTTCTAAAAGTAAAGTTATATCATGAATAGAGATAATATAGAAAAAAATACGTCATGTTCCACTTATTGAAGGAGGAGACCGAATAAGCCGAGACGTAACCATGATGTTTGGGCGTCCTCTTCCAGGTTTCATCCGAGTCAGCGGTGCGTACATCACGCCCGTTGCTTTGTTCGTAAGTGTCAATTTGTCTATATATACGAATGTACAGAAAAGTGTGGACGCTATTAATTTTATGCACCAGTAGCCGCAGTAATTAAATTGGTGAATTGCTGACCACACACTTAGGACGTCGATATTTCTTATGTTGACGTTTATAACGTAAACGTGTCATTAAACTGATAATATAAGAGTTTATTTTGTGACGTCATTGTTACAATGAAGTGGTCATACCTTAGAAACACCGCTTGCTCTAAAGTTTCCTTTGCAAACTAATTTTCCACTGGTATTGAAGCAATTTGAGAAAACAGGCATTACAATCATCTTACTCGTAATGGAGTATTTACTTAATGAATTTGTATCTGGGATCGCAAATAGCAAGTACAATCATCATATATTTTACTTTCTAAACGTTTTATAACGTGGTCAATATCTATAACATAAAAGCGTATTTGCAGTAAAACACGCCCTTAGATACCTGGCACTTTAAGGTGTTGATAATAAAGAGAACAAAGTGTAGCCTATTTAATGAAATCATTTAAGTGAGGTTTTGACAGCTAGACGCTAGACGTGTATGGCCATAATAATAATACGGGTGTTTTAAGAACCTTATTCATTAGTACAATATGCGATTTACATGGCTGAAATTACGCTATATGAAATAAAAATTATTTTATGTTTGAAGATGCTTTTGGTGGTCAGTTTCTTATCTTACCGGCCCCCGACATATGGTACCTACATCTACCCAGACTACTGTAACGTATTGGGCTGGACAATAGTCACACTCACCGTCCTGCCATTGTTTGTGACGGTTATAGTGCTACTGCTGAAGTCTACGGGGACACTCACCCAGGTAGGTGTAGAGGAAAGAGACTCGGGTATTTTTGTCTACAGGAAATCTGACCTAGGTATACAGGCCTCTTGGACACTAATTCAGGTAGGTATAGCGGTAACCGACGCGGGTATTTATACCCCAAAGGAACTCTGGGAAAGGTATACTGGCTTTGTGGACATTTACCCAGGTAGGTGTAGGGGGGACTGACTCGGGTATTTATAGTCCACAGATATTCTGACCAAGGTTTACAGGCCACAAAGACACTTACCCAGGTAGGTGTATCGGGAAGTGACTCGAGTATTTATGGTCCACGGGATCTCTGACCAATGTATACAGGCCACTGAGACATTGACCCAGGTAGTTGTAGGGGAACTGACGCGGGTATTTATAGTCCACGGAATCTCTGAGCAAGGTCTACCGGCCTCGTGGAAATTTACCCAGGTACGTGTAGGGAACCGACTCGGATATTTATAGTCCACGGGAACTGTGACCAAGGTATACATGCCACGAGGATAATTTACCAAGGTAGGTGAATGGGAGAACTGACTCAGATATTTATAGTCCACGGGAATTGTGATCTAGATATACAGGCCACTGATACATTTACCCAGGTAGGTAAAAAAAAAGGGGGGGATCTGACTCGGGTATTTGTAGTCCACGGGAACTTTGACAAATGTATACAGGCCACGGGTATATGTAGGTGCAGTGCACGGCAGCTCTGACCCATGAAGGTATTGTTCGAGGAAAACCCCAGGTTGTCACAGTCCAAGGTGACACGACACTGACCAGCTTACATGTATGTACAGTACACGGGACATTTACCGAGGTAGGGGCAGCAAATACGAGCAACAAATCGAGTATTCTTAAACTTCTCTCAAAACTTACAACCTCCCTAATATATCTGTTCAATTGCGACTATTACAAATGTTCAATACTAACATGATGTAATAAATATATTGCATTTTTCCCTGTTGTAGCGATTTCACAAGACGTCATCGCCAATGCTGACATGGGGTCCAGTAGAACCTCAGTTCAAAGAACTTTACCGGAAGTCCGAGAATTCACGTGACAGTTCCTTTTTACAGTTAGCGTGGTTCAATCTGACAGGGCGCGTTGGTATTCAGCTTAACAATGGAATGTTTGTTTGTGACGACAACGAATTCACAGCCATAAACACCTCTGACACCAAATGTTAAACCAATATTGTATTTTTTACTTTTTACGTATCATTTGTAGAAAAACCGCAAATCAGATATTTTTTTATATTTTGTGTCATATTTTCTCAACTCAATTTCATCATCGGCAAATGAGCATTTTCATTGTTTAAGTAATAACGTGTAGTTGGTTAGCCTCTGGATTAATATGAGAAATAAACAAGACTTATACTGTTGCTATCACATGGGAATCGTGCATGACTCAAAATTGCTACCCCTCATATAACGTCAGAACTGTTACCATGTAACATGACACACAACATATTATGTGATATAAAAATGCCGTCACAACACAAAAACAGATATAAATGTACAAGAAAATTAAATGAATCCAACATCTTAAATTTGATGCGTATTTTCTTTTATATCAAATTATCACCAGTAATAAAGTCTCTCTCCCTTGGCCACCTCCATGTTTACATTACCCAAACTATGTTTATTGTATGGAAGATAGAAATGGCAGCCTTAGGATACACTATTTGGGTTTGGGTCAAAATCCGAGTCTTTGCCAAGGTTTTTGAATCCAAATTATGTACGCAAGAGTTATTGTCTTACATCGCTTACGGATTTAGGATCGAGATGTGTAGCCGCCTTCTTGAAACAAGTGAAGCCGCCATCTTGTGTTAAATATCAACTTCTTTTTATGCTGAATCGAGCAATTGTAAACCTATCTATACCATTGGAAAGAGCGAATCAAAGTTTTGTTTATACTGAGAGCGTTAACTTCAATATAAATGAAACCGCAATAAACGCAGATAAATACTTGAACTGGGTAAACACTATTTAACATTGCCATCTATTTAAGAAATAATATCGCATATTGGCTTATATAGGATATAAATATCTTTGATTATGCAACCAAGCTTTTTCTTATCTGGCTAACAATTAAAAAATACCTTTCACTCCGCATGCTTGGGAAATAAGTGGTACTATGGGTAGTACGTTTTTCATTTAAACAATAACTGGTTGTCTGGATGTAATTATTGTTGATATAATTACATGTGGCCTCTGGCAAATCCCATAAAACCCGCTAGGGTTTTATGGTAGATATGCCAGAGGCCACTTGTAATTATATCAACAATAATTACATCCAGACAACCAGATATGTTTTATATTTACATGTTTTTCTTTTTTAAGATATATTCCTACAAAAACCATTTGCCCTGCCTTAAAATACATTTCAGGCGGCCATTTTGTTTGTTTACATATTCCTACACCTGAAACAGGCAGTTGTAATTATAGTCGAGCAGTTGTAATTATAGCCTATATAATTACACTTGCCCTCTAACACTGTTGTAATGGGATGGCGCGGGGGCAAATGTAAATATAGTTTCATAATGATTACCGGATAAAACATTTGCTCTCTTTTAGGTACCCACTTGATATAATCAAACCAGTTAGTTTCCGTTGTTCTTTTATCAGAGTTTGTATATCATAAGTATTGTATTGATTTTGACATATGCTACATAATTTAATGCTATTAACATGATTAAAGAATAGGTGATTACATAAAAATCTGTTCTTTCCCGAAATGTCCCAGCTGTTATCGTCATGACGTACTTCAGTTACTGTATTTCTTGTGTGTAATCTTTCATTGGTATAAAGTGGGTTGTTTTAGTCATTATCAGTCAAAGTATCACTATATTTGATTGTAAATCTGTTAACTTAATTAAATTTAACATTCCCTTTGGTATTGAAATATTGAACACATTGAACATCACCTTCATACCTAAAACTTACTAGTAACAAACATGGCAAAATATATTATGTATATGATCGTATTAAATTAATATGTGTATATGGTTTGGTTTGTTTTGGAATTGTTTAACGTCCTGTCAACAGCTTTAGCCATTTAAGGACGGCCTCCTCTGTGTGCAAGATGCATGCGTTTAGTGTTTTGGGAGGCTGCGATATGTCCGTGGTTGTCTCCTTGTGATAGCGCGGAACTGATGCCGACATTATAGTGCTGACTCACTGGAACATACTGCCAAAGGCACCCACCAGGACACCCCACCCGGTCACATTATACTGACAACGGACGAGCCAGTCGTCCAATTCCTAAATTGCTGAGCGTTAAGCAGGTGTAGAAATTACCATTTTATCAAAACTCAAACACTGTGCTTCACCGACAACACATTTTCTGATGTGTACTTTAAGGACCCCCGAACAACTGCCAAAACATGTACAATGTACCTGCACATTGGAAACTGTTCTTTTCCTGCATGACTATAGCTATGAAAGATCATTTGAGTAAAGAAATCAAACCATGTTGAACATTGATAGAATGTTGTAAAGATGAAATTGATAAATCATAATCAACAACAGGATTCTGAGTGTAAACTTCAGCAGGGGTTGACCGGAATTCGAACCCATGACTTCTGAATGTTATATCGTTACTACAACGGACTGAGCTACACTTACCTGGTCTTTAGAAGTGTTTTTGCCAAATTTTGCTACATTTATATCCAAAAAGAAATTAAGAGGAATATACTTTATTTACGAAAGACCACAAAACAGAGGGAGAAGGATCATTGAAAGTATATACAACATTTGATTTTGAACATAACTAGGAAATAAAACATAAAAAATAATATAATGTCTATCTGTATCTGTGCTGGGTCCCATGCACAGTTAGATTTGGTTTTGTTTTGTTTGGTTTAGTATTGTTTAACGTCCTATCAACAGCTATGGTTATTTAAGGACGGCCTCTCCTGTGTGCAAGATGCATTCGTGTAGTGTATGCGTGTGTTTTTTGGGAAGCTGCGATATGTTCAGGTTTTGTCCTGCTTGTGATAGCGCGGAACTGATGCCGACTTTATAGTGCTACCTCACTGAAACATACTGCCGAAAACACCTAGCAGGACATCCAACCCGATCACATTATACTGACAACGGGCGAACCAGTCGTCAAACTCCTAAATTGCTGAGCATTAAGCAGGAGTAGAAATTATCATTTTTACAGACTCTGGTATGTCTTGGCCAGGGGACAGAACCCAAAGCCTTCCTCACAGGGGCGAACGCTCATCTAAAGGCTAAAATTGAGGCATTGTCAAGGGAGACACTAGGAAGAAAAAAGTTGTTTAGAAAGAGGAGAAAAGATAAGATCCCACATTTAGTCACCTCTTATCATCATGTAATGGAGACAGCAGGTACAATTCTTACGCCCTACCTGCAGGGACCCAAGTAAACAAATTGAAATGAACAACCTATTAGAACACTTGTCACTCCGTAGTTACCTATGGTCAATGTTTTTGCTGTCAAAATAACTATTCATGCAAATTGTCATTGATATGACTGGGGATACAGAAATGATTGGTGTTTACTTCTTTGTTGAACAGAAAAAGTGTCCGGATATTTTTTAAAATGGATACAAATCTATGACAAGACCGTAAGAGGAAGCAATGTTGACTGATGCCCCCCTCCCTCGGTCCATTTCATAGGCTATGTTATGTCAGACGAAGACTCGACAGTACAAACTGAATAGAAACTAACGGGTGATTGACACATTGTTTGGTTAAAATATACTCTCAATTACCATGAAAAGTGCATCATCACATATCATTAAGCTTTAGGTTTTTTTTGGTCATATAAGGTTATTTAATGAGTGCATCCATATGTATTGTGTAAGCATGCATGTGTGTATGTTTCCCGGAGACAGGGTATGTTGGAGTACTTGTATGATCTGATGTCGATTTAATAGCGCTATCTTACTGAAGTATCATGCCGAAGGCAACCTGCACAGCATTCCGCCCGGTCACATTATATTGACATCGAATAAACGAGTTGTTGTCATTACCCTTAACACCGAACGTTAAGCAGGGAATAACAACTTATATTTTTAAGTACTTTCGTATGTCCCAGCCTGGGAACAGAACTTATTGCCTTCCTCACTTGAGCGAATGCTCAACTTAAAAGCCAAAAGTGAGGTATTGCCAAGCAATGTGCTATGGAACATAAAGATTGCTAGAAGTAGAGAGAAATGCTACGATCCCAAATATTGCAATGGATGCAGCAGATTTATTTTGATCGTTTTTGTGTCCCCAAGCAGAGGGCACAAAATAAAAACCCTTATTCTGCAAGGGGTTTCCATTTAAGGCGGCTCTTACGATACATGCAGGAGGTAACAAAAGATGATTTTTTTTTCTCCATTTCCGACCTGCAGGGGTGGATTTTGGGGTGAAATCACGGGAATATCGAATATATTGTGTGTGAAGGTAGTAAAGGATATTATTTTTTCAAATAGTTTTTTTTCATAAATAATTCATCATTTTTATCGTTTGCACATTGTTTAGAACTAAATGTTTCACAATACTGCATTTTTTAAATTGAAAAGATAAGTAGTACGTTAGATTTACAAATACCGTTTTCATTTAGTTAGTGTCAAACATAATTATAATGTTGATATATATAGTTCTTGACAAAGACGTATGTTGTATATATGACCGAATGTAGCACAAACAACGTGATTAGATTATACTTTGTACACTAATTGTATATACAGGTTACGTTTCTTCATAAAAATTATACACTTACCTCAGTGGTAAAACTCGTTTTGAACAATTCACACCACAAGTTGATCAGCCTGTCGACAGTCTACTTGTTGAAGTGCAACTTGTTCATGCAATATATATATTGCCTTTAATTACATCGTTTTTTTATACACAAGATATAAGTAAACAGTATATCGATATTCGAATCAGTTGTGATATCAAATTGAAATTCTCCTGCAGACTAACATCCTTTATGTTGCATCAATGTAATAATTTGAAACATATTTTCGATTGTTGAATCCCGCCTTTGTCTAGTACATCTGTTACTTCACAAAATTGCACAATAATCTTTTGAAACATCTTTTTAATTATAGAATCCCGCCTTTGTTGTATCAAAACCGCTTTATTTCGTTTTAAGCGACATACTATCCTCAGGAAGAGACAATCTTCAAAAATATTGTGATGCACCTTATTCTCGTCTCTGTATTTTCATTCCTCGTGAGAAAATCAAATTTCATTGTATATCATCACCTTTTTGTGTGAATCTAGTAAATGCGACATATCGAAACGTGACTTTGCAAGATAAGCATCACACAACGTACTTCTTAAACTTGTGAGTGAAAATCTGATCAGATTATCCATATTAATATATCAATTATATGTGAAAAATATATCTTGTTATTTTAGTATTTTTTCAAAGCTAAAACCTAAACAAAACCAAAACAATTAAAGCGAGGAGATGAGATACTTTTCTTGTCCTATATATTTGCATCTAGAAAATTTGAGTTAACTTTGTAAAATTACTGTTGTCTATAAATGACCATTTTATCCATTTTGGTATATAATGGTATGTTTGATGTTGCTAAAGTGAACTATTACACTGGGT